TATCCAGAATTTTTTTTTTTAACCAATTTCGTTTTTCTTCTTTCGTTCGCCTTCCAATGAGGTGAACTGGGTTCGAATTCCAATTTATACGAATTCTGCATCCGGCTTGCAACGACCACAGAACCTGCTGATGCAAAATTTCCTCATGAATCAAGGTTTAGAGTCCCTTGGCCGTCAGGCTAACCGCCGGAGGTTCTCGTGGTCTTCCTCTCCGTGTAACACAAATGCGGGTTATCTCCAACAAAAAGTCCTCCACGGAGGAAACTTTCTCCCAATTTTCGATCCAGGAGTTCCCTCGTTTTCTAAATTGGGTTCAAAATTTCAAGGTTACGGAGTTGAACATTTGTAGTCGTAAATCTGTAAAATTGGATCGGCTGTTCAACGACGTTTATAAAATAAAATGCCTCATAATGAGTTAGAAGTAACTTATTTTGAAAAGTATTGTCGATAACTTAAACTATAAGAGTTTAAAGTCTTTATGATGAATGCGTTGAACGTAATATAATATTGTATATGTAGTTATTTGGAAAAATAAAATTTAAGATCAATTATTGTGGTGTTATTTCCAACATCTACTTAAAAATATTACTTAACAGAGGTAATTAATAAAAAATCAACAGTGTTTTTTTTTTTAAATTTTAACTCCATTTAAGACTCACTTCATAATTTAGTAATAGAAATTTTTTTTTTAAATTCTTTAATAAACAAAGGAAAAATAAATTTGCCAGAGATGTTTTGCGTACATTCTCTCAATTATGGATAAATACAAAGCAGCATCGGCAAGATTCAACGGAGTTTGCAGATGCATACAGATTGCTTGGAAGAAGAAAAATGAAAAAGTCTGTATACGGTGCAAATTTAGGCTCTGAAAGCTGCTCTCTTGTTATCGTCAAAAATTATTGACATACTAACAAAATATCCTTACAAATGAAAATTAGATATTTCGAAAATAAAATTATCCTTTACAAAAAAAAAAAAAAAAAAAAAAAAAAAAATTGCTGACTTTTAAGGAAGCATCAAACAAATATGAAGGAAAGGTCAGAATGAGGGTCGGTGAGCGGAGCGAAAGAGGAACGTAGCCATCCTAGTTTAATAACTGAAAAAAAAAATCCAATTTTTGAATTAGTTAAATGCGCTAACACCACATCCAATACTTTGATAATTTAATAACAAATATAGCAAGGATTCTTTCAATTTATATTTTAAATGATAAACTTTAAATTTATGAGAAATGTAAGTATACTCATTACAAATGAGTGATGGGGAACTGCGATTAGTAATTGCTTCAATTACAACCCCTAACCCTACCACCACACCAATTGTACTCGACGTATGAGGGTGCAGTTTATAAAAATCAAGTACCAACTTTGCGATCAGCTTCTACCTGAAAAAGAACAATATATCAAAACATGTGATTTAAATTTACAAAATTTGAGATATTGGACTCAGGAATTGATTTACCCTAATTTAACATTTTTACTGGAAGTATTATATTTATGTGTAATGTGTAGCACTGAAACTTAAATATCAGTGTCAGATATACCAGATAAATGCATATAGAGCAGGTATCCTTAACCTTAAGAAAAATATTAGGGTAGGACATAAAGAGCAAATATATACCAAGCAAAGGCAATTAACTTTTTAAAAAAAAAGGGAAAAACAACATTTGTGTACTGTATACCCGACAAATGCATACCGAGAAGTGGCACTAAGTAATACATAAGATATAACTAAAGGTCTTTCAAATTAATCAGGAATTTAAAAACCCCTTGTCACCATAAAAGAAACAACAAAAAAAATTCTAATTTGTATATAGTTTTTATTTTAAAATTAAAGAAGTAAAAAAATACAATAAGTAAAAAAACTACTTTTAACGTTTACTATTGCCTGCTTTACTTATGGGCATTCCTCTCCTTCATCCTGCTCTACATATAATAGTTAGCACTGGAGTAGCTAAAATCGATGATACTGAAAAATAGGATAAGAGGCAGGTTAAAAAATTCCATATAGCCTACATTTTATGTATACTACTGTTTGCTTTATTTATAGGCTTTCCTCTCCATTGCTTTTTAATTATTATTAATAGCTGGTTTTGAGGGGATCATTTGGTGGACATTTGAAAATTTTTTTATAATTTTTAGGTTCAATTGAGAACTTTGACACTAATACCAAGTCAAAGGATAGGTGTCAAAATTTCGAAAAACATATACGTATGCAAAGAAATATGTAGACAACGTTTTAAAAAAATAATTCATTCTGTCCTTTTCACTCTCATATAATAGTTAGCACTGGAGTCGCTAAAATTGATTCTGTTGCAAAACACAATATGAGGTTTGTTAAGAAATTCTGTATAGTCTACATTTTATGTATACTATTGTCTTTTTCCGTCATATGCCTTACTCTCCTTTGTTTTCTAATTATTATTAATAGCTGGTTTTGAAGGGATCATTTGGTGAACACTTCAATAAATTTTTGGTTTTAATGACAGTTTTGATATTAACACCAAGTCACAGGTGTCAAAATTTTGAAAAAAATATACATTTGATAATTATACTGCTTTAAAAAATTTTTATTCTGTCCTTCTCATTCAATATATAATAGTTAGCACCGGTGTCGCAAAAATCGATGATACTGCAAAATACGATAAGAAGCAGGTTAAAAAATTCCATATAGCCTACATTTAGAGAGAATAAAATGCGTTCTACAAATAAAAACAAGTATCTTTCTTTTTTAATCAAAATGATTGTTTAACCGTTAAACATTACAACAAACGCATAAACAACTAAATGCAGTGTATAAAACTCAAACCACATAAAAAGATGTTAAGTCATGACTTTTTCTTGATTTTTAATTACCTTGTACTAAAATGTGTTTTGTTTCCTGTTGCCACCATTTTTGGGAAAAGTCAGCAGTGATCACATTACCATCCAAATAAAGTAATATTGAATGCCCCCATATAAAACAAGAATGTTCCTCGTGCCAAAAAACTATTAGTCAAAAATGCTTAGAAATTTTTGTTAGTAGCATTTAGTTTAAATCAAGTGCTATATCTACAATGGTGTGTAACAATGGTTGTTTTACAGAACATAAATTACAGTGATGTTATATTACATGAAAATAACGATATTTTTTTGTACATTAAAAACCATTCATTAAAAATGCTGCAAAATGTTAAAATTAGTAAAACTGACATTTTTCTATTTATAATTTTTGAATAAAAAATAAAATATTTATGGCGATTTTCTTATTGCGGTCATAATGACCACAATGGTCAGTCTGGGTAGATAAAAATGTCGGTTCTAATGCTAAAACTCTCCGTTTCTGCCTTTAAAAAATTTTATGCTCTGAACAAACGCAAAAACCAGGGATATCTAAGAGTTATAGACAAGCATAAAATATTTTTTTTTTAATCAGAAATGTCAAGACAACTATAAACCCAGCGTTTTTTCAAATGTTTTTCATTTTTTAAAAAAGTATTTAGACCTATTTGTACCATAGTCTAGGTAATTCTTTACAAGTAGAAGGCACATGTTTAAAATTAAAGTGTTGTTTCTTAATTTTACTTGGTGAAAGAGCTTAGAAAAACATCCATAATGCCTCCTTCATTCTTATATGAGCAGTTTGTATCGTACTTATATAGAAATAAAAATATATATATCTGTAGCACAGCCTTTTTATTAGAAGAGATGATTAAATTAATATAGTAAACATAGTCCATACAATGGATGTGCCTAAAGTGGCAAGTAATGAAAATTTAACAAACACTTTATCTTAGAAAAATATTATATAAGAGTCTAGTATATTATATATGAGTCTATTTACAACAAAGTAAATAATAATTGAGCATAAACAAGAAATAATTTCAAAGAAATATCACAGAACATAAATTACAGTGAAAAATCCATGTGAGAAGCTTTTCGATTCCTGCTTGAAGGTTTCAAGGACTTAATAATTTATAAATTAGAATTGTTTTTTAAAATTTTGATAAAATTCTTGTCCAGAATATTGTTATTTAAATTATTCAGAAATCAAAAACAGATTAAGAGGGGGGGGGGCAGAATATGCGAATTATTTTCTTGGAAAGCTAAGTATGCTGAATTCTCCCTGATTTTAAAAATAAGATTAAAATTACTTTATCTTCATATTTAGACAATTAAATGGCAGCACTATAATCTGAAAGTACTTAAAAAGGCCTTATTAATTGCACCAAGATCTGTCCATTCTTAAACTTTAGTTTTAGTATTTGACTTAATATTTTTTATAGATATGTACTAAAATGATCAGAAAAGTAATAAGATCTCAAACTGGTTCATATCTTCTAAGATAGTCAGTTCCTGAATGAAATGGTGGAAAATTTCCCTCTTTGCAAATGGATCTTGGATATTTTTCATGCCATCTTGAACTAAAGGAGACCATAAAAGAAACATAAAGTGATACCATTATAGAAATAACAGTGTTTTGGCAAAGAGTAAAAATCTCAGCAATGATATATTGGGTCCTTCCGAAAACTAACTTAATTTTCTTCTTAACAGAAAACTCAATTGTATTTTTTCGACAACATTTTTATTATTTACAACAATTTTTTATTATACTTCGGCTATTTATGTCTTTTTGTTATAATATGTTTGTTTTGTAATAATATTGTACATCCTCTAATTTTCGTTTGCAGCATTTGAGTATGATTATTGGAGTAAAATGGTTTCTTAAAAAAGATTTTTAAAAAATTTCTTAATATTTACAATTTTAATTCATTATATATATATATATCATATAGCCTGCTTTTGATGTATANATTCACTGTAGAATATTGACATTCTCTCCTTTAAGCCTTTCATAGAACTATAAATAATAATAATAGCAAAACTGGCAAGGATGGAAACGGTCAACTATCTTAAAAAAACATTTATCAAGCCACAAACGTAAATCTACATATATGAAATATTTTCATACGATGCATTCAAAGATAAAAAAAAAACTCTGCACCTGTCTTACTCTCTGAGACTTGTTCAATTCTCTTTATTTTATCAACCCACGATATATTTCTTATGGAAACATTTTAAACAATTTGCATCTTAATGACTACAGCACCATCTGTGCAACAAAAGACAAGACTTGAAAGTCAAATGACAAAGCATGAGGGGTGGAGCGTTTTTTAATTGTTCCATTTTCCCTTTAAATATTTACCCTATCTTTTGTTGATATTTGAAGCCAGGAAAAAAGTTTAACTGGTTCTGTTGAGTAACAAACTCTGTTCGTTACTCAAACACTCTTCAAAATCAGTAATTGATTTTGGAAAAACGATATAGTAAATATTTAGCTATAAGCTAAATTAACAGTTAGTTTCACTACAACTCAAAATGGACAATCAATTTTTAATCTGGAATGAAAACAAAAATCTAGATCCCATTTTAAAACTTTAATAACGTATTCTGCCCTACATCCAAGAGTTTAGATTGAGAGTTGAGTTTGATATCATTTAACAAATCTTTCACGTGTATTTTTAGATATTTGATTCAATGTGCCGGCTTCAAGATATTTGACAGTCTCTATTCTTTTAGAATACATGTAGATTATAAACAAAACAATGACATTCTCTCAGTTTGGATTCTCAAAGTAACAAATATAAAGAAAAGAATTAATTCATATACAAAGAAAATAAAACAACATAAATAACCAAACATAACAAATTTTTGCTGAAACCCCATCCATATATTCATAAAAATACAGGCATGACAATTGTAAAACAAATTTTAGACTCTTCACACACACACATCGTAACACAATGAATATTTTAAATCAAAATTTAAACACTGTCACTTTTTTATATTATAAATTAATACTGTTATATAAACTAAGGACACTGCTGTAGTTTATCTTGTAGTTGAGAATATGCACTATGAGTATCTTAATAAATTATTTTTAAAATGTTTAATGCTGTTTTTTGAAGGCTCTTTTGCCTTTTACCGAAAATTTACCGGCTTTCAACAGTTGAGGATTCGCAACAGTTATTGTCCATTCAATTCCAATGTTACCAATTTTTTAGTATTTTTGTTATCATCATCTCTGGCCTCAACATTCCAGAGTTTTCAAATCCCAATTCATGTGAACTCTCCAATCATCCTTTCTTAATGCAATGAAGCTCCAATAGAATTCAACATGAAGAATAATTAAACCATTTACTGTGTCATCAACCCATCAAAGTCAATTGACTTATAAACCACACATACCAAAAAAATTGCTACTCCATCATCAAAAATTGGGGGTCGACATATACAATAGGTAAATCTTTTCACCAAGATATGCACCATATCTTAACATACATTAAAATAGATATGCTGATGATGATGTTTTAAAAAACTAAACTGAATCATAAAGAACTTCAACAATGAAAGTATCTTTAAAAGATATGTAACACCTCAACATGTGATTTAGGCAAAATGATAATATAAGAGGGTCATTCAAATGAAACCTGGTCAGTGCCTCTAACTTCGCATTAGACGTAATGGTGCGCCACGTAACTGCGTGAATGATGGCACCATCAATGGTAGAGAGACTGATACATGCGCAACGTTTGAAATTGCATAGCGACAGTGTGGTTGCACACCAAAGAGAAGGAGGTCACACAAGTTATTGTCCATTATGGAACATGCAGGCAAATAATCAGGAACAGCGAGGAGCAAGGACGCTGGAACATCCACCATACAGTCCAGACCTTTCACCGTGTGACTTTCATGTTTTTGGACTTCTAAAACAAGCTTTTCGCGGACATCGATTCACAAAGGATGATGACGTGTGTGCCTGGATCCGACAACAACCTACCTTCTTCAAAGATGGTATCGACCTGCTAGCATTGCAATGGGATAAAAGTACCAACAGTTTTGGAGACTATTTCTGAGTACGTGTACTGTGTATAACTACATTTGTGAGTTGATAAAATTGTTACCCTTAATTTACACTAGTGACCGGGTTTCATTTGAATGTCCCTCATAATTTACACCTTGAAGAGTGTGAAAAGGACGCTTCTCTCTCAAACAAAAACATCTTTCATTTGTTTTACCGAGTGACATAAAAGTAACTTACGATTTTAAAAATAAATTTAAAATTAAAAACTGAGGGTGATGGAAACATGAATGATTTACTACCTACTTTTTGCTTAAGAAACTAGATAATCTATCTGAACCAAGTTTTAAATTAGTTAAAAAATTTGTAAACAGATGGCGTTGCTACCTAAGAAACACTACAAAATAATGTTTTTAGAATAAACAACAATTGCAGCAGTACTCTGGCACAATCTCATGACAAAATTAACAGACCCCTGTGCAAATATTTCAGTTAAATTGGTCTCACATGCAACAGAAGAAATTGCTTAATAGTTTTTTCAGTCAGTAGCACTATTTATTAACAAATTTTATAACTTTTTTAGAAATGTGGTAAGAATAAATTTCTTTTTTTGAAACAGGAAAATGAAGCATTGGAAGAAATCTAGGCAAAAAACTAAAAATTTCCTCCTATAATAAATATTTAAGAACACCAGAATTTTCAAGTTGCTGATGTACTATGTTTTTCCACCCTTTATTAGCGGCAGGATTGATAGGACTGGGATGCATAATTCCAATCACTGCAATATTAGTAATAGCATGAGTTTTGAGCACTTTTTTTACACGATCTTCTGCAAACTTTCCAATACCCACAATACACTTCACACCAAGAAGGTTAATTATTTGAATTAAAGATTCATCACAAATGTCTAGCAATAGCTTTTTTTCATTCGCCTTCAACTCTGGTGGAGTTATATTTTTTGCAGTGGCTGTCATCATTGAAATAGGACAATAGTTGTGGACATAGCAATGTTGAAAAAACTTTTCTGGAGTTTTGCATGTTTCAGCTAGATAAGACCAAAATCTTTGCCCACTGACCTAAAACAAAAGATTGAAAAATTACATTTAAAATAATAAATGCAGCAAAGCTAATAACTAAATCTACATTTATTTATAAATCACTAATATATATATTAAAAAAAATCACCTCTGATCTTGGACAACTTAAACCATGTATTTGTCTTTTAGGGTGTTCCTTTTTAGGCTTGCTAACATTCCCCTTGATTTTCAACCAGTTGTTCACATAAAAAGAATCACCAAATGGTACCTGAAGTGAAAAAGAAAATTGGACAAATTTATAAAAAACAAACAATATTAAAAAGACTTCAAACAAAATTCAGATTAGCTCAAATAAAAATAGTACAAACAGAATCACAAAAGCATTTTTGTAATTTTGTTTGTAAGACAACGAAACACCATGACATTTGTATAAATATTAAAAAAAGAAGCTTTTATTGTAAAAAAAAAATAAATATAAACAATGTATAGCTATGAGGGCACCTGCAGGGGCAAGAGAGTGCACTCATACCTAATAGAAATTCAATAAATTAAATGTTAATATTTAAAATCAATACAATTTTTCATTTAGTCATAATGAGGAGCCATGGTGAATCTACTTATAGTCAGAAATTGATAGCGCAAGATGTATTTTTAAATTTAATGTTACATTTGCATGGTGTATCTAAAATAATAATAAAAAGCTAAGACCTTCTCTTTTTTTACAGATGTCTTTTTTTCATATACTATATTTAATTTAAATGACACGTGCTTATATATATTTTTTAAGCTTTTGATATTTTCCCTAAAATCTGTTTGTTTAAAAAAATTAAATGAAATGGCAAAAATTATTTGTGAAAATATCTGATGCACACAAATACAAAATATTTCCAGATAATAAAAAATATATATGTATAACACATTTTTAATATTTTAATAAATATTTTTAATTTTTGCACTCCCTAAGAAAACAAATATTGGCATCCTTGTAAACAGGGTTGGCATGATTTAAATCAAGTGATTTAATTAATGATTAAAATCTTTCAATTTTTTGAAAAAAATCATTAATTTAAATCAACTGTGATTTTTTTTTAAAAAGCCATTAGCTTAAACAGCTTCTCATAAAAAATATTACTAAGTATAAAATATTTTTCATAGAATATATAGTTAATAAATACATTCTTTGGAGTGTTTTTTTTAAAATTTTTTTTATATAAAAAAACAGTCCAATTTAAGTGATGAAGGTTTTTTGCTAGGAAATAATGAAAGAAATTTACAAGCAAATTATTATATTTTTGCATTTATATCTCTTTCGTTATTTCAACAATTTTTTTTTAAAGTCATTAATTTAAATATAAAATATTTTTTATACAGTACAATTTAAAAAAAACAAAAAAAACTTTTCTTAGTTGTGACTATTTTTTTCATGATGAAGATTTTTCACTAAGAAATAATAAAAGGATATACTTATAAATTACTGCAATTCAAAAAGGACCAAAAGAAAAAGTAGATTAAACATGGATAAGAGTGTCATGAAACTTTTAAATTCTATTGAATCCATGTAAAAAAGTTTGCATGCAAAAAAACTTTTTTAATTATACCCATTTAGTCTTATGCCTATTCCAATTCTATGGATTTATAACTTATTAAATATGCAATTTGAATGTACCAACCAAAGTAACTGAAAATAATATTTTTTTCTTCTCAGTTTCTGATATTAACTAATTTATCCTTCATTAGATATCTATTTGACAAATAGTTTCCCAATTATTAACATTCATTAGCAAGTTGACTTTGTTGACTTGAGAAACATAACTATGATTTTTTTATTCAATGATTAGTTTTTAATAACCAAAGAACAATCTTAACAATTTTATTAAGGAATGTTAATTATTTGAGCTATAATATTGTTTTTAAATAATCTTAAACATTATTAATACATCTTATTAAATGTATTATTAAAAAAATTTTTCTTTCTTTTGATTTTTTTAAATAAAATAATAATAAAAATGCAAAATATTTTTTTAAAAAAATGACAAACATCTCTCATTCCACAGAAAGGAACAAATTATAAAACATAAATATTTTTTTAAAAGAAGTTTAACACATTTACACATTGTTAAAAACAAAATACCAGGTAATTTAGTTTTCACTGTCTTTTAACTTCAAACTTTTCCTTGTTCTAGCACCTGAAAACTAAAATAATAATTAAAAAAAAAAAAAAAAAAAAATCCTGATTTCAGTCTTGTTGGGCTTTTATTATTTTTTAAAATCCTTAGTCTCTTTTATAATCTGAAGTGAATTTAGGGAATGCATGACTAAACTAGACTGAAAATTTTTAAAAATTAAATTAGGAGAATAATTGTTTCCGTTGTTATTTTGGTTTTCCAAGTACAAGATGCTTTTGTGGCTGGAGGACTACATTCCGATTGCAACATGATTTAATTCCAATTCATTGAAAGGTTTTGTAAAATTCTAACAAGATTTACATTATCTTCTTTGAATTACAGACTTACTACCTGGAAGCATTATCCATCAAGAAATTTTTGTAATAAACTAAGAATTTCAAAAGGAAAAGATTTCTGGTCACATGAAATTGCTGCAAGAATGTTTGGTACTGGCACAAGCAATAAGTTTGCTAACAACAAAACAGAAAATTGAACAGTTTTCTTTTATTTAAACAAATAAAAACTATAAAAATAGCTGAGTTTAGTTGCAGTGGCGAATATGTAACAAACTTTTTAGGACACCTTATAAATTGACAATAAAGTTGGAAATCATTAAAACCTATGTAAGAATCTTTCTCAAACAAATTTTACCATTCTTTTTTCATCAAACGATTGGATAAAATATATTTGTCTCCAAAATAACCCCTAAGATTCAACAGCTTCCCACAACTACAATAAAAATTTTGGTTAAGATGTAGAATCGGGAGCCACTTGATTTTTTAATAATTTTAGTTTAATTTTGCTGTAATCCGGTTTCTGGTTATCAACCATGATATTGTTTACATTTTTTGTTTATAATGACCTTTAGGTTACTGTAAATTTTGTTTGCTTTCATGTCATTGGTTCTTGGTTTAGTTACTTACATATTCATTTGTTTGCAAATCGCAAAACATGAGAAAGACTCCCGACTGCAAACTATTACCCAAATTTTAATTTTAGAAAACATTTGGGGAGATTTCCACATTGTGATCAGTGGCAGAATAATCCCCAACTCTTCGCAACTTCCAGGAAGCGGTCCACGAGAAGCTAAAAAAAAATTGCAGAAAGGGATAAACTCGAAACGTATAATTTATAGCTGCCCCGTGCAAACTTATACACGCTTTTTAAAAAAAAAAAAAAAAAAATTGGAAGTTCAAAATCTTTTAAGCACCTTGGAGATTGTAGCTGGCATGACAGATCATTGATACCAAAATATCCCCAACCTTCTTGGTATCTGTTAAGTAATATCAAAATTAATATTAAAAATATGCATTTGAAAAGAAAACATTAATGGAAAGATTTTTGGATCCGTACCTTCACCAAAATAAACATTAGTTTTGAAGATCTCTCGGCAGTGACCGAAACAAAACGAAAAAAAGTGGTAAAAAGAAGAATCCCAAAAAGAAACTGCCTTGAAGAGGTAATAACTCTTAGCAACTCCAGGGCAAACACATATATAATTTTTCTTTTTTTTAATTTGTGACTAAACATTTATTTAAACAAACTGTGAAATTTCTTAGGCGCGAACTAATACCGATGCGAAAATATCACCCTTATATCAAGAAGAGCTTTAATAACATTTCTTTGCAAAGAATCAACCTGTAAATAGTTCAAGAATAGCTAAAAAAGATGCAATAATTTAAAAATTTTTACAAACATGCTTTTTTTTAAGAAAAAAAAATTCAATACCCCATTTTGTGCCATTCCAAATGGTCCAGGATTCATTCCCAAGAATAAAATTAATTTTGAATTTGGACAAAATGTTCGCACATAGTATTCATGAGTTTCTTTAGCGTACTCTAAAGGATTGTAAACATAGCACACTTTTTCATTAAAAGAAATTGCTGATAGTGCATTACATTGTCGTTTTTCTATTTCGAGTAGTGTTTCTGACACATAACAAGAACACATATTGCAGATATAATTTCAGCAATAATGCTTTAGCGATAGTTGTTTAAATTAAAATATATGTAAAAAATATCGATGTTATTTCAACGTAAGCCATTACACTTCAACCACATCTTGTAGAGATCAGTTTAGCTCAACACAAGCAATAATTATTTAAATTTAAAAACAATTAAACTTAATCATGTCATTATATTACAAGCCATTACACTTCGATCAGCAATTTGACAGCTACTAATTTGTTTATATTTACTTTTTTATAGTTATAGATACAGTTAAGAAGAATGTGAGCACAATACAATGAGGAATAAAGCAATAATTCTTTATTTTCTCTTCAGCATCGTTATTTAGCTTACAGAAATTTGATTGGATATGATTATAAACAGAATTTTAATTTTAAAGGCATTAAATATTTATCTCTATAAACAATAGCCAACTAATGGCAATGGGAATGGAAATTGGCACATTGCCAAAGTACGTGTTATTGTAATGTTTACAAGCAAATAGTTCAATTTCGTAATTTCAATGTTTTGATCTGAATAGTTTTCTGTCGAAAACACTGATGCGATTGGGAACTTATAATACTAGTGTACCTGTCAGACATCTTCTTTACGTGTCATGTGGGTTGACATTGTAAATTTCTTTATCCAAGAAGTCTGGGTTTTTAAAATTCAGGTGCGTAGTTGACAATTCCCCATTTCTGGCCTCTTACACACTAATTGCTTTATAAAAAATGATAACTATTGTTAAACTATGAGTTCAATGTGTTCGTAGCATAAAATAAATCTCATATATTTATTCTTGTCATAATTTATCATTCTTATCTTAAGTGATAATCCGACTTTTTTTTAATGATTTAATTATTATTTAATATTACAAAGTGTCGATGCATAATTAATTAAAACTCTTTTTAAGGAATTCGTTCTAAATAAATCTGTCTCAAATTACCTTTTTTTAAGTGAAAAATTTTAGATTTTATTTGTGTGTTGTAAACCTAAATGAATATTTATTTAATATATCTGAGATTATATTTTAAATATTTTAGTAGAATCTTATGTTAACTATCTCTCTGATAGTTCTGTATATTTGTACCTGATTGTGCTGACTGCAATCACCAAGGTAACAAAAATTTATAAAAAAGAGGTTTGCCATGGGCTGGCTATTAGTAGGGGATATGTCTGTATTGTGATCTGGCTCGCCAACTACAATCGGCAAGATGCCAAATAGATTTTAAACTTTCGAATTTAAAAAAACAAGCATGTAGATATTTGCACATGGGTGGTTACGATTTATATCTTTTGAGTTGGTCCCTTTCTGTAATGTTTTCTTAGTTTCTCGCATGGCGCTGCCTGGAAGTTGCAAGGGCTTGGCGATTATTCTGCCACAGATCACTATGCAGAAATCTCCCCATTAATTATAATCCTTTGAATTTGTCTCCTGTTTTTATTTTTTTAGTTACTCATGTGTCACTGCTTTGTAAGATTTACATATCTCCAACTATGCTAAATTGATTGCCAAGTTTTGATCAACGGGCAGTGATCTGTGAGAGACTAAAAAGATCAAAATCATAGACGTGGACTAACTTGAAAAGTATAACGCTAATTGGGAGGATTTCCTTATTGTGTTATGTTACTGAATAATAACTACGTGTTGCCAATTTCTGGGCAGTAACTTGCGAAAAGCTACAAATACGTCACAAAAAAGTTACAGATTTGAAGAGTATGACTTGTAAATACCTCATGGAAAATTTCTACTTGTTTTTTTAAATAAGAAAATTGTGATTTAAAATTGATTTGTCAATTGTTGTTTACGTAACAGATTACGATAAGAAAATATCTTCTGCTAATTGGTGGTCTCTTATATTTGGTGATTTGAAGAAAAAAAAACCTAATAAATATGAAAATATACCAAGAACCAATCACACAATGGTAAAGGAAAGTTGCGGTAATGTTAAGACAGATGTCATTAAAAGCAAAGATAATAAAGAACGTCTTGATTCCCCTGAAGTAGAAAATAGAATAACTAGACGAAAATTATCACCGAACAAAAGGGCTTCTACGACTTAAACAGTATAACTTTTAGCCATCACTGGACTAACCATAACATATATATATATTTTTTAATTTTGCTGATTAAAAAATTATTTTGGCCTTGATGAAAGTAGTGGGTGCAAACAGATATTGATACGGAAATATCCCCAATTGTTCAGAAGTTGCTAAAACTTGATGATTATTTTTGTGTTAAATCTAAAAGACTGTGGAGATAGTCACATTGACCATGTCAACCTTCATCTATGAGAAGGTACCCCAACATAGAATCGAGTTAGCATGTCTTAAGTACTATGGAATTGGAATTGTATTTTTGTAGTGGTAGATACACTACAGTACTCCCAAACCAGAATTTTATCTTTGATAGAATCCGATGAACAGATGCCACTAGTTGCTCATTGCTGTTTTTGTGAGAAGCCGGGAGAGCTGTATTAAGATCACCGTAGTTTCTGAGTGTTTATCATGACATCTGTATTAAGTTCATGGTCGTGGGCGCTCCTGTGTTACCTTTAGCAGTCGAGTGTATACCATGTGTGTTGTGTGTGATTGAGACTGAGAAGCAACAGCGTGTGGAGGACAATCAGCAAGTAGCAAGTCAGCTATTCAATGTGAACCATCCATTGAAGTAGGCGCGTTCAAATCAAAGTGTGAGTGTCTGTCGAGGTGGGCGTGTGCACATCATATCCGAAGGTCCGACCGATTTGGGGATAGTCACATCGACCATGTCAACCTTCATCTATGAAAAGGTACCCCAATATAGAATCAAGTTAACATGTCTTATATACTAGGGAATTATATTTTTTGTAGTGGTAGATGCACTGCATTCCGGATCACCAATGTGGGGAGAGAAGTTATCGACAATGTCAACCTTCATCTATGAAAAAGTATCCTGACATGGAATTGAGTTATGTCTTATATACTAAGGAATTAGAGTTGTATTTTTGCTCATAAATAAATCTTAATGGAAATTTTCTAGCTATTTATAATTGAAATGCATCCTGAACAGTTTATCAGTTTTTGTCAATTTTTGTAGTTATTACTCATGTTTTTATTTTTGTTTATATTTTGAAGAAAAAAAAAATTGCAAATAGAAAAATATACACTGCATTACAAGCTTGAAGTGTAAAATTTCTATTTAATTCTAATTAAGTTTTTATAGATTTTTAATCAATCTCAAATACAAATGATTAATACAATCGGGTACTAATATAATGAAGAACATGTTCCCCATGAAGAACAGTTCTTCAAAAACTGATAAGACATTACATGTAACAGGTGTGTAGTAAGTCTACCACTAAAAAGTACAATGCCAATTCACTAGTATATAAGACATGTTAACTCAATTCTATGTTGGGGTACCTTTTCATAGATGAAGGTTGACATTGTCGATAACAACTCTCCCCACAATGGTGACCTTCAGACATGATGTGAACATGCATACCTTAACAGAAAGTCCCACTTCGATAGGAACACACCTATCTTAACAATAGCGCCCACTTCGATCTGAACACGCTTACTTCAATGGTGGTCCACATTGAAAAGTTGAATTGCTATTTGTGACTCGACCGCGTGAACTTAATACAGCTCTCCCGGCTTTTCAGAAAAGAGTCAGTAAACAACTAGGGGTATCCATTTATCGAATTCTGTCACAACTATAATTCTGGTGGGGAGTACTGTAGTGTGTCTACCACTACAAAACTAGAACGATAACTCGATTCTATGTTGGGGTACCTTTTCAAAGATGAAGGTTGACAATGACGATTCTCACCTCACAAGTACTTATTAGGTATACTTTTCAATTTGCTGAATATAAGTTCAACTATTTTTCTTTCTTTTGGAACATCTATAGAAAAATTGATGCTCCCAAAAGTATTGTTGGCAGTACAAGTTTTATTTATTTTAATTTAATTTCTATAGTTTCTGATTCTTCTTCTTATTTTATTTTTTTTAGGCTTTGTTGTGCATTCACAAGAAGAGAAATTCATCAGATATGCTTGGACAACCATAATTGTTTTACGCAATGACAATCCACTGTATATTTCTTATAGTCTTAGTTTGTTCAAGTGCTACGTGCCTTGCTGTCCATGGTAATTTTTTTGACAAATGATTTGTTTATTACGTTTAATTAGAATTCAGTGCCAAATTACCAGTAAAATTACTGAAAAGTTTATTATTGATCAAATTGTTTGTGATATATTTGAGCCTATTACTAGTATATTAAGTGCTGGCAAAAATGATTGCCATGATAGCAGACTTTCTATTGTAAGCAATTTTAATGTTGTAATAAAAAAAATTTGAGTTTATAGAATAAATTCACTGTCTGTGAAAGTCGAATGTTGCAATTCAGGTTCCCACTATCAGACTTGATATAATTTAATTTGCAGTTTAAATCACTTGAATTTAAAAAAAAAAAAAAAAAAAAACACTTGAATTAAATTATTGGTATAAGTCAAAAATATATCTAAATTATATATCTATCTATCTCTAAGTAGTTTAATAAGACTAGACCAAAGGTAGATTAAAGTGATTAAAAAATTTGCTATAAGTTTTTTGTAGACTAATTAGTTGTTTAATGTACATATTTTTGATTATATGGATTTTGTTTTATGTTTCTTAAATTAGATTTAGATATTATTAAAACTTTTTAAATATGTTGTTTGTATAACAACTCTCACGATAGAGGGGGAAACGGAAGTTATAATCTGAGATTGTTATATTGTGAGCACTCAAAATCTGTAAATTTAACTGTAAGATGGAGGGATACACAACCTGCCAACTGCTGATGTGCGGTCCATGAGTTTGTGAACACAATTTTTTTCCTTTTTTTGAAAAATAACAAAAATTTCTAAAATTTTTATCGCAAATTTTAGTTATGACTTTTTGGTTTGCTCAATTTGCACAGATTCTATTGTTAATCTACGTTGTTTCTTCAGCTCCATCCCTTTTTTAAGAGTTAGTGCTGCAAAATTCCGTATGGTTTTTAAAAAACTCAATGTTTATAATACGATATTACATTGCATGAGTTTCGAATTTGAGTTATAACTTTTTTACTCTCATTATTTTTGCCAATTTTATTATAAAGCCAAGTGTTGTTTCCAGTGTTTTATATTTTGGAATTTATAACTACCAATTTCCATAAATTTTTAAAATCGCAATGCATTTATTTGAATATTCCGACATGTGCGTTGTAAATCGCGCATTTAATTTATCACTTTTTGGCGTTCTTCTTTTTCGCCAATTCTATCATAAATCTTAATAATTTTTAAATTTTTTGAAATGCATGTTGAGGTTTGAGTTCGAGATTAGTTAGATAGTTTGAGTTTCCTGTGCTGGCAACATCTTATTGTTTTTATATTCTTTTCGATGTAAATAAAGTTAAGTTTTCAGTTTTGTTCTACGTGACTTTCAGTCTGATTTGCTCTCAACAAAATCCAACAATGCAGTTATTGCTACGCTTTTTCACGGGATTTTGAAAATCTTGTATTTTTCACTGTGATGTTATTACGACAACGCAAGTTTCAAATCACACATTTAAGTAATCCCATTTTTAAGCGCTTTGTTTTTTGTTGACTTTATCGTAAATCAAAGTTATTTTTCAATATTTGTATTCAACATTTTTTGTGATACATTCCCACATGGTTTTAAAAATTCCAATTTTTTTTACGACTTGCAAATTGTAAATCACGCATATACACTGGATGCAAGAAATTTGCATCCAGTGTGAATAGTCTTTTACACTTCTATGACTGAGTAAAGTCTATAAAAAATCGGGATGTCTGATGTCAAGAAATTAATGTTACCAAATTTTCCACGATGAGAAATTATCCACAAAGGCAACTTTCATGTTTTTTAAATAGATAATCAGCGGATTATACGCAGGAATTTCTATCTCTACCTTCTTCAGAACAAGCACAAATCTTCTGTCCATAATTTGCCTCAGTAAATATTTTAATATTTTTTTAATAATCAATAAATATAATAAATAAAATAAAAATTTTATTAGTTCCAGTTTAGTTTGTAGTACTGTTTGATCAGCATACCTAGAATTCATCATACTGCTTCTCAATCTGGTTGATTTTGGTCGTTAAAACACATTTAAATTATTATGGTCTTGTGTTATCTACATTCAATTTATTCTTAATTTATTACTTTAATTAGTACTTTATTAAATTCTATTTTAATAGTTTTTCTTTCCCTGATTAGAAAATGCTGACACACTGTATGGAATTGGGTGCAAAATTAAGAAACCATATACCAATTCACACATCACTCCAGTTATGGAACATCCAAGTGAAGTAACAGGTTGTTTTTCAAACAATGCTGCCTCTGCAGAACAGGTATTCATGTAACAGATATTATTCTTTTGCTAATAATACTCATTTACAATTATAAACAACAATTTATAAAACTCTGTTAATTATTATAAGTACCATTATATACTTCTTTAAACTTAACAGTTTTTGAAGCATTATTTAAATTGTTTTTTCTACAAAATGCACATGTTCTGGCTAGACCTCAATTTAACAAGATATGACAAAACTTTATGCTTAAAATTAACTGCAGGATAAAATAGGGGAATTTTGACTTTTTTTAAGCAATGCGTAATATTAAAAATGTTGATTGAATTCTTCAAATTTTCAGCAAACGGGATCTGTGCTTATTTTGTATATCTCCACATTTCCTGTAACATCCAAGATAAATAAAAGTAAAAAATTGTAATGAATATGCCTATGATAAATATTTTATTATTTCATTAATTCTCAGTTAATACTTCATTTTTAATTTGTAACAATCATCATGATTTTTTTAATAAATTAATGATTATCTAAATCAGTATCTTCATAAATTCTTATGCTTAATATGCCAGTAAAGTCTGTGTTATATTTAAAAAGAAAAAAAAAAGAAGCAGGGCCTTCCTTAAACATTTATAACATCAGAAAAAACATTTTCAAAGAGAATAAAAAGAAATTTTTTCTTTATTCCCTTTTAAAAAATGTTTTTCCTTTTTATTTTTTTCCTTGTTTTCTTTGTATTTTTATCTTATATAAAATTTTTGAAAACATAAATTAAATTATTATAAGCTAATTGGAAAAACCTGAAGGTTCTGTTCAACTCAGGTAGCATTTCATTACAAAAATGAGGTATGTCGAAGTAAAGAATAATTCCCTAAGATAAAAATTACTCTTTGTTTTGTCACAATATATATATCTTTATGTAATATAAGAAGGGAGTAAAATTATAACACATAGCCGATCACATAATACTTGCGGTTAGTAACACACAAAACAGCCAATCAAAATTGAGAAGGTATGCACATTAAAAGGTAATAATTTTTAATAATTTTGCCTGCTGAAATGTTACTGCTACACTTACCAGGTAAAGTTCTTTTTACAATTATTTAAAGTTGTAGAGGTATTGTTTTTCTATAAATATTCTTGTATCCTTAATTTAAAGTTATTTTATCTTTCTGCTTAAATTATGCTTTTAATTAAAGAGTTTAAAACAAAGATAATTGTTTTTTTTTTTTAATTTTATTATTATTATATAATTTTGCACTACATTTTGAGATGAAATTATTTAGAAAAGTGGTCTAATCTTATTAACCATTTTACAATTATTATTTTTGTGCAAATAGCATTAATATACTGTTAAAGATTATAGTTAAAGAGATCTGTTAAATGATTTAGAACTTAACGATCAGCTTCCTTCTCAAAGAGATACAAGCAGAAACAGTATTTAATATATCCGCCTGTTTTGTAAGCGAAAATATTAAATTCTGGTTGTTAACTCATCAAATTTGTTTGAACAGTGTAATATTTTAATAATATAAATGTTATTTAAAAAAATGATTACTTAAAAAAATTACTTTTGATCACCAATAGATCTAAATATTTATAATGCTAGTAGATAATAATATTTGGATATGGGAAATGGAGATACAAGCGTAAGCAAATAGAATTCCTTTGAGTACAGTGCATATATGTTAAGTGAATAATTTTAACTTCAGTAGAAAATCTGTTTTTTTGCCAAGGAATGATGATTATTGCAAATGCAATCATCGGGTTGGTGAGTAGCAGCAAACAGGGAGCTTAGCCCCCCTTGTATATATATATAGAGAGGGCGAGAATTTGTCAGATCTTAATTTCTTGAATAGTACCAAAATTTAATTTTTCTTTTAAAGATTAGTAGCTTGTTCTGGATATATTTACTTAATGTGCAGCTTTTGCTGCCCTAGCTGACTTCTAGGTACACTTGAGTTTTATATAACTGATTTTTGTTCTGTCATAAATAGTTTCTTAAACCAGACTAACATCTTTAGCCAGCAAGCATCAATCTGTGATGAACTTCAATGATACGACATTTTTTATCTAAAACAAAATGAAATGTTTGATCCAACAGACCTATTCGAAGTGACCTGTGGTTGAAAAAATAAATTTTTCTGAGTAATTAACTGTAACTACTATTTTATAAATGTAGTTTACAACAATTGCTTCTTTTTAATGTAATGATTACAAACTTCTTTTTTGAATGTAATCACCGCTTGACTTTTTTAGGAGAGGAATTTTGCTTGGGGATACAACTGAAAAATTATTTGCAAAATTAAAGAAGAATCAAACATTGAAAGAAAATATTCGTAAAGAAATGGTTTTGAATAATAAATGAGCCAATTTATTTATTATAAATTTTTTTTTCTACTTTCAACTTTTTATGTCCTTTGAGGCATTGAATAATTTCAAGAAATGGTAGAATGTCATCAAGTATTTGTGATTTCGTTAAGTACTTAAAGCTTATGATAACTTAGCTGAAGAAAAAAAACTACGTTAAGTATATCAGAAACATTCTCATTGCTTCCACTGATAGACTGATAAAGTATTTGCTCCAATAAAATTATTGAAATATTTTTTAAAAATAATTGCATTTGAACCACTTTCTTTACTAAAATAGCGTTAAAGAGTATTTGTAACGAATCACTATAAACTAGTGTTTCTGAATTGCACTACAACATCACAAACTGCACTGCAAACTACGAAAAAAGTAGTGACTGCAATAGTTTTGTTACTTGTAAAGCATTAACACTGGAATGGTTTACAGAAAAATAGTAGGCCGATTCCAATTATGTGAACGTCATATAAAAAACTTGTTGTGTTAGCAATGACATACTAGGTTCAAGAACCAAATTTTCAGTGGTCGAAGCAACCAAGTAACTTGGTTCAAGTCCCAAAGAGCCGCTACAGTTGAATCAGTAAATTTCAAAGCTGAACTTGAATTCTAACCTGAAGTTAAATGAACTGAATTCAACTCAATGAAATATGTATATAAATTGTTGCAAAAGTGTGTTCTTTTGCTTTTTCCTCTTTCTATATATTTTTACCTGTCATAATCGCATGGATGTCTCTGATATTGTGCAATGTTAATATTTCAACTATGTTTAAATTTTATTAAAATTAAATTTTGAATTTCTATTTTTATTAGACAAAAGACACGTTTCAAAATGCTAACATGAAACATGCAAAATATCTCACTAAAACATGTTCACAAACTTTTCTTTGGAAGTACACCAACACCTTCAGTACAGTATTTAAATTAAAGAGCATATGATTATTATTATAGGTATAGCCATTTATTTTCCATTTTTTAATTTAATTAATATATTTTTTTTAGGAAGTCCATGTATTGAGTCTCCTGAACTCTGGATTTGATGCTGTCGATACTAAGAATGGTTATCTACCTAGTGTCGCAGTTAATGTGCAGCTGCGTTCAAAAGAAAGATTTACGATTTCTTCTGTCATTATAATTCTTCACTCATTCACTCCAGTTATGTGGCAAGTTCACTTACATTCTGGAAACAGTACAAATTTTCATGTTGTTGTAAGTACAAATTTCTTTTTACTTTAACAACAAAAGTAAATGAATCTGTGTATTTCTTAAAGCGGAGTGTAAATTTTCCGCTCGAAAGCTTGCCATTGGCTGCTAAATATTTAGGACTCGCAAGTAAATTTTGTTAAATATTGTGCTCCAAACCCCCATGGCAGAATTACGGCGACGTTGTCCCTGAATGTTGCAGAGTTTTTGCAGAAGGATTTTTCATTCAGGAAGGAAAAAATTTTGATTTTCTTTTCTGCTTAATTTTTCAAAAAATGTTTTTTTTTTTTCGTTTCTTCTACCGAATTTTTTTCAAAGATGTCTTTTTTGCGCATCAGAGGGAAAAGAAATTATCATGATTTTTCTATTCTCATTTGAGATTTTTAGCTAGAATTTCAAATCGGTAATATAAAATATATATATATATATATAAAAATTCAGAAATTGTGAAAGTTTAAAATATAGTTCGACCTAGAAATGATGTACTTTCTTTAATTTTTTTCTTTGAAGAATACCATATTTTATCTACACTTATTTGAGTATCTCTTTTTTAAAGAGTCCAATTTGAGTGATTTGTGATCTTTATTTTGAGAGTTCTGCACGGATTTTACGATTTTCAATTTAATATCATTTAATTTATTTAAAGAATTTAATTTGTGTAATGATTTACAAAATTTGAAATTGCATTTTTCTGCCCACAAAATTTTAGAATATCCCCTATAATATTAGAATTAAAAAAATATTGCTTTTTACAATTTAAAATTTTTATGCATTTTTATTCTCTACTTTCTTCTGTAAACACAACGTATCTTTTACGTTAAAATATTAATTGTTATAATTAAAAGTATCTTAAAGCAAAATATTAGTGCTGAGAAAGTTTGTCGCAGAAAGCCCACAAAAATTCTGCTTCTGCTAAAAAAATCTTTATTTTATAAGATAAGTTTAAAATAGAAAATCAAAAAACAAATCCAAATGTCTGTTATTCTATTTGTTTTGTAATAAAATTTTCTTTTTTCATAACTTTAAAGTCTTATTTCAGCATATGTTTTTTTTTTCTTTTTTAAAGGTCAATAAGCCATCCTACGTTGTTCCTACTGTTGCTGCAACTGTTTCCCGTCGCAAATTTCCTTCATCTAAGCGATTACCTATTTGGATCAAAAGCCATTATGGTGCTGTAACATCTTATTCATTGATACATCTTGCAAATGAAATCACCCTCTTTCTTGGCATTGGTAAAATTTACATTCTTCTTGCGAATGACATTTAATTTATTTCATAAATTAGAAAATGCTTAACACTGAGACATACGTTGCAGAATAATCAATATCCTTGCAGAACAATTTATGTTTAAAGCAGAACTATTTATGTCCTGTAGAATAGTTCATGTACAAGCCTTAATGGAAATTTGAAATAATGTTAATAATTTTAATTTCATTGTGTAGGTCATAATTTTTTCAATAATTTAATTTAAGCTCTATATCAGGAACTGCTCAAATGTATCTACATTGCACAGAACAATTCATGTTTAGGTTAAAACCATTTATGTTTAGAACAGATTTATTTATGCTCTGTTTCCTTTTGTAACTATTGTATTATAATTTGTTTAAATAATTTTTATTTATCCCCTAAAGTTTGAAATGGTGAAAACTGAGATATTGCAGAGCAATCAAAATCCCTATCATACGATTAATTTTTTCAAACTGAATTATTTATGCCCACGGTCCTGCCAAACAGTTAATATCCAAAACTCCATAACTATAAAAAATGTTTTAAATTTCCCATTTTCATTATGTAGGTTTTATGTTGAAATTAGTTTCAATAATTTTAATTTATCCTTTAAAGCAGATAGTCCTTTAAATTCAGACGTTGCAGATCTAGAGCTATTATTTTTAGAACAAAATTATTTATGTTTAGAACAGAACTGTTTATGGCCTAGTCTTTTTAGAATATGTTATATTCAAGTCTATGAAAATTTTAAATGCTGATAATAATTTTTGTTTCATTATGTAAGCCTTTGCATATAATTTTCTACTTAACAAAAATATGATCCCTTTTTTTTGTTGCAATTTTGGCTCCCAAAATAAAGTTTTAAAAAATGGCAATTTAATGAATGAGAGTTAATTTTTGACAATACCAGGAAAACATTTGTGATATACTTGTTTCGTTGCAGAACATTCAATATAGCTTTATTTCTGGGAATATACTTATTGAAATTTTGTTAAGAGGAAAAGCTGAACACTGTAATAGAATTTAAACAAACCAGGCAGAATATGGGAAACCTCATACTCTAGAAAGTTAGGTAATATAGAAGTTTATGCACCCAAGCATGGAAAAACTTTAGAAGAAAACTGGAAAATGCCAATCTGAGAAATTGGCAGTAGCCAATGAAGTTAAAAGTAAACGATTCTATTAAACTCTGCTACAATTATTTCTTGAAGAATTTAACTGCAATGAAGTTGAAACAATTTTATATTAAATCAAATTAAATAAACTAAAGAATTTCTCATTTCAAAGTATTTCTTAGATACCTTTATTTACTATTTTCTGTTGAAATATTACTGTTTTTAATTAAAGAATGGGTTTGAATTTTTTTGAAATTTGCTCAGGAATTTTGGAATGGTTAGTGAATTTTCCCGTAAAAGTGGAAAAAAAAAATTCTTAATTTTAGTTTTATTAAATATTTTATTTTTCGACAAATCCTTAGAGTTATTTTTAGCTTGCAAGGTTATAGAAGAATTATGTCATTTTATGCTTCATAAAATAAAAATATTGCTTAGTTGATTTTTATTTTATAAAATATGTATATAAGAATAGAATCACTGCCTATTTCAGAATTGGGTCAATTTAAAGATTTTTATCTTATTTGCATTTCATTAAATGTGATATTTAAATTTTTTTTTTTTAAGACTTACCTGCCACTAGTCCAGATTGCAATGTCAACAGTAAAAGGCAATCTGCAAATGTAAAAGCCAGTTTTGTACAATTGCAACTTGCTGCTGGCTGCACTATGAGTAGATCACCTGTAAGCAAAAGGTATGAGTCCTTTTATAAATCAAAAACTAATAAACTGGTTCCCTTTTATTGTTTTATGGAAACGTAATGCAGTATATGTAAAATAGTGGAGGTATGTAATGCAGCAATGACTCCTGATTGTCTAGTTTCTATTTTGCAATTTTGATAGTTTCAAAATTCTTTGCTTATGGTGTTAGTCATCAAATGTTAAATCCATTTCATTGTTTGGACTACTATAATATTATTTAAAAAACTAATCATGTCTTTTACTAGTCATGCCATTTTGAGAGGAGTTGCCATTTCTTATAGAACAAAACTGAACAAAATATCTAACTATTTTTGTTGTGGCTTGTTATATTGTTGCCTATTCTAGAATGTAAATAAGTCTTTCAACTATGTTTATTCATTTATTTATTATATTTTTTAAGCCCTGGTGGTGCTCTAGAGTTTAAAGGAGATAGATGGGATCAAACAATAGTTTTGCGATTCATTAATGGCCATTTTAAATGCTTAACTTTCAAATTTGGGCGCAAAGTCTTCCCAACATGTAGCAAGTGCAATTTGAAACCAGCTTTCCTCAAACACATTCTCGATTGTCTGGAATTTTCCTTAAAGGAAATTCTCTTGCAACCATTTTTGGTATGCGACTTTGCCGGAATGTTTGAACTGATTTAATATAGTTGAGGCTATATTGTGAAGAATTGGAAACAAGAGCAAGAACTATTATATTTTATAAGAAATTTATTTGGAATGAATGTGCTCTTAAGGTACACACAAGTGTACGGCGCTCGAAATAAATAATATGTTATTTTAAGAAGAGATCAACTGAACTGATTTTTACCAAGTGCTAATTTTAATTGTTCAATAGGGTGACCTCACATTTGATAACTTATTAGTTCTAACTATTTATTGAGTAACAGGAGATGCGCAAAAACATACTTTTTCTGAATCAACATACTTTCTTATCAGTGGATTTTGGGTATGGAGGGATAGCCGCAGGGCTGAATTACGCATTAGGTCAGACTAAGCCATGGCCTAGGGCCCCTTTAAAAAAAAAATTTTGAAAATTTTAAAAAAATTAAGAAAAGTAATGTTTTTTTTAAAATAAAAATCAATTTCAAATATATATTATTAAAATACGATAATTTTTTACGTAATGTATTACATAAGGTTTTAAATTGAATTTATTATTATTTATTTTAATTTTAAATATGCTTTTTTAAATGAAAAGATGTATAAATACTTTTATATTTGAATAAATAAAAAATATACTAGAAAAATTTTAATCTAAGGGCCCCAAAAATTTGAATGGCCTAGGGCCCCGCGTATGCTTAATCTGGCCCTGGATAGCCGCAATCTGTAAAAGGGTCCCAAAATTACCTGACTGGAAACTTCATACGCTTAAAAAATATATAAAAAAATTATATGACAGCTGACATTTTTCAAAGGCGTCAAAAATAAGTGCCTATTTTCAATATTTGACAGGCGTAAATGTAACAAAACAAAAGAGATTTGAAAAAACAGACGGCTACCAACAAAAAATGGAAATATAATGGTGAGAAATAAAACTCAGAAGTCTAGCAAAAAAAGGTGAAAAGCAGACCGAAATCAAGAATAAAAGAAAAGAAAAAACAGTGGCCGAGAGTCAAATCAGGGTAACATGCATCTCCATTGTTACGGAGAGGAGGTGAGGAACATATTTACATAATGTAACATTCATGAGTAATTCATTTGTGTAATTTACATTACATGTAAATTACATTCATGTAAATTACATGAGTCAACATTCAAATGAATAAAACAAGATTCCAGGGAATCAAGATGCGTCAATGGGACAGGGGTGTGAATAATTTTAGCATTGTCCAATTTGAATTTATGCACCAGATTTCAACAATGTGAAGCAATTGAAGGTTTTTCCAATTCTTGAACGCTTTAAAATTTAGACTTAGGGAACTTGTTAAATATATTGGTTATCAAGAATTCGTGAAATCTTCAATTGCTTCACATTGTTAGAATCTTGTCCATAAATTTCAATTTGATAATGCTAAAATTATTTCCACCCCAGTCCCATCGGCTCATCTTGATATTCTGGAATCTTGTTTTATTCATTTGAATGTTGATTCCCTTGTTAACGACATTAGTTCCTCCCTCCTATTCATTAGAAATGGGAGTCCCTGATTTTCCTTTCGGCCACCGTGTTTCTTTTTCTTAATTTTCTTCTTCCCATTTTAGGTCTGTTTTTCACCTTTTTTTTTTTTTTCATGACTTCGTTTTTCTAGTTTTATTTGTCACCTTTATTTTACCATTTTTTGTTTTCAACTTTGCATTTTTTAACAAATCTTTTTTGTTTCGTTACATTCACTTCTGTCAAATCTTGAAAGTGGGTGTTTATTTTTGATGGCCTTGACACATGTCGACTGTCATTTCATTTTTGAATATTTTTAAAACGTATGAAATTTTCAATTAGGCTTACCGCTTTAGTCTCTTTGGATTATTTATTTTAAGGTCTCAATAGTTTTGACGAGAGAGCTGTCCATTGTTTGTGCCCATCAATGCTAATTGCACATAGTTTTAAAATTAATTTATTAAAACATAATTGTCTGTAAAAATAAATTTTAATGGTTTTTATAATTTAATGAAAGTTGAAAAACTTTGAATTGTAAGGCATACAAATTTTTACATCTTTTTAAACTAGATGATTTTAATTGACAGCCATTTAAAATTGAATTTTATTAAGTGATATAAATATTTTTACCCCTTACAATTCAAAGTTTTTTCAACTATTATTAAATAAATTAGTAAAATATAATAAAAAAATTTTATAATTGTGTGCAAATTTTTTTTTTGATTTACTTAAAATGTTTTTTACTTATGGCTATATACACAGAAAGTGAAATTAGTATTTAGGGGCCCAAACTTAGCAGTTTTTCTGCCTAAGCTATTGAGACCATAATTTCCAGATTCTACACCTTTTTATTTTGAGAGTGAAAAAAAAATAAGTCAAAGAAAAAGGTTGTTTATTTGAGGAAGTACATTTTTATGTCTGATTCTGTAACTTAATTAATAGTTAGCATATTTGAAGTTGCCATTTTGAGCCATTAAAATTGGCTTTTAGTTGTGAGCATCTGATCATTAGAACAAAGGTTATTTATGGTGATATCTTATTTTTATGCACTGTACAATGTAAAAAATCAGATGGGTTGTAGTTAAGTCATTAAGGTTATTTATTAATTGACTTTTCTCTATCACAGTGTATTTCATTTTCACTAATTAGTAAAACTTTTTTCAGTAATCAAATGCTGTATGTCATTGAACTTGATTCAAAAGTGTCAAATAGTGATACTTTAATCCAGTTGCAACAACAGAGGAGCCCTGGTTCTGATTGGAGTTCTGTTGTTGAACAAAATGTTATTTTGATCTTAAAAAGTCATGTACCATTAGAATGGGTCATAGAATCCAGGGGCATTGAAGGTTCTCTTTTAATCATTGTAAGTAAAAATTTATTCGACCTTTCTTTAGAAAGTTATACCTCTTTCTTATTTTACTTTTTTAAAATGATGTAAAAGTTGACCATGCAACATAATATGCTATAAAACACTTTCTCCTTGAAACACCCTTATGCGTTTGATCGGTGATATTTATTTTGTATGATTGATGAAATTAGATTTGATATGATTGATGTTTGGTATGATAAGTTATATGAGGTTTGATTTGAATTAACAGTATAAAATGAGACAATTTTTTATTCTTGGTTGAGTAATTCTAAAGTTAAATGTATATAATTTTGCATTACTCAGTTTAACATAAATGAGTATCACTTGTCTGAAGAAATTATTTTAAATATTTATTTATTTATTTTTTTGCATTTAGTAGAATGGAACCAACTGTTCACACCTTAATGGAATTTGTATAAATTTTTATTATGATATGTCTATAATGTAAAAAGCCATAATTAAAAAAAAAATACATGAAATAAAGAAATAAAATTATATTCTGTATATTGGTTTACATATTTTATATTTTGTTGTTTCATAGGCTGAGCACCCTGTTCATGTTCGAACAAACATTTTATTTGTGACCACAAAAATTGAAAAACAAATTCTTCCATCATCGACATCAGTTCTACTGTCAAAAATTAAAAATTCATTTGGGTTTGCAGACATCTACATAAAAACCTCCAAATCAAATCGAATTAACATTGCTGTGAAAGGAAAAGCAAGTATGTAAATTCAATTGCTTTACTTTGTGATTTTAAAATTATTTCTGTAATATTGGCAATTCTTTTTTTTTTGTTGCATGCTTTGATTTTACTGGGATATATATTGAGATATAGTTGAGAATATGGAATTGTTGGCTCATATATTATAGTTTTCAAGTTTGCAGTTTCTACTACTTTTAGCATTCTTTAACACTTAAGTTTTAGCTGTCAAGTCTATTTTTGAAGTTTAACAACATAAATTGTTTTNACATTGATTGTTATGGAATTGTAGGCTCATGTATTATAGTTTTCAAGTTTGCAGTTTCTACTACTTTTAGCATTCTTTAACACTTAAGTTTTAGCAGTCAAGTTTATTTTTAAAGTTTAACAACATAAATTATATATATAAATAATTTTTTAGGCATAGCTACGAAAAATGAAGGTGTTTTTCTTATTTATGCAGATATTCACGTTACTCATATGGTACCAAATACACACTTTTAGTCCTATGTCCGTGTTTTTTTTTTTTTTTTACTTCCTCAATCACTTTCAATTATTAGATTTACATCATCCTGCATTATGCCTTCCGAGAGCAGCAAATCACAGCCACTCTAATGGTTGATTTCTTGGATATTAGAGGGCAGGTAGTAAGTCTCTGGTTTTCTACATATTAAAGCACCACAAGAGTCACCGACCAAGCTGAAGCAGGACTCTGAACATTCAACCATAGATTCATGCTCCAATCCCTTTGATCTCTCCACCATCCTAAATGATCTCATCTGTTGGTAGAAGTTAGTGGGAGTAGCATGTTTTCTTGGAAACAGCAATTTCCCATGAAGCCTTTAGAAAATAGTATCCCTTAAAACTGTGCTTCCGATTGCCACATAAAGGTCAAGAGAGAACTTACTTACAAGCTGTGGCCTTGCTGTTATCAACCAATACCCAACTTTGGTGGCAGTTTTAATTTTTACTTTTAACTGAGCTGTCTGTTAACAGCAGGGTTGCCACAGGCGACTTAAATGCAACTATTTTTGGCATGAGGCGACTATGGCTACTTTTTTTGCCTGAAAAGGCTAAAAAAGTAACTATTTTTAGGAAGAGGAGACTATTGGGAGACTTTTCTGTACTCCTAGCGATGTTTTTTTTTAGCAGGAATTGGGTTTAAAAGCCCATGATAGCTTTTGAACGCACTGAACTTTTGTTCTTAAAAAATAACATATGTTGAAAATTTTTTAATTGCAGATTTGAGTCTTCGCTTTTTAATTCGTTCAATCTGCAGATTCCTCTGTAAGTCTATTTCGTTTCTCGGTCGCTTTTTCAATGGTTATTGCTTCGAAATTCCGCATGATTTAAAAAAAAATTCAATACAATATTACGATGCATGAATTTGGAATTTGAGTAATCACTTTTCACAATATATATATGTGTGTTTATATATATATTTCCTAGATAAATTATTGATAAAAGGGAAAATTGTGCTCGAACATTAACGTTTTTATAAAAATTATCATATTTACCACCAACTTGACTAAATGGATCATGGTATATGACAATTAAGTCATTAACAAAATTTTAGTCATATTTTTTATCTTATTTAGGCAACTATTTTCATAGTTTTCGGCAACTATTTTCATGCTTTAGGCTACTAAAAGCAACTATTTCGTCCATTTTTTTTCTGTGGCGACCCTGCAACAGATACATTGATTGTTTCCATAAATTGCATACACTACTGGGAGTGAAATTCTTTACAAATCTGGTTTTAAGACTGGCTTGCTTCAAGTCTCCCCATAATTTGCCACGTCATTCTGTCATCTAAATGTTGGTGGTTACACACTTTAATTGTGTGATTAAACCAAAATCTGCAACAACAAAAAACTAGAAATTCCGCAAGATATTCGAGTGAACATAATCTAGCCTTTGCCTTGCATGCTTATCCCAAAGCCACCCACACATACACAATTGTACATGCTTGTGTATTTGACAAACAAGATTCGCATCTTTGTTTTGAGGCAGTACTTTTATATCTCAATTGCTGTCGCGAAATGTAACAAACTATGCAAATTCTCTTAATTTTGAACACCAGTGTATATTCTTCGCTTTTGGCCTCCATGAATTCATTCAATTGAGGTACAACTGTATTAAGACTCTATGAAAGTGTTATTCTCACAACTAAGTTGTTAGTTGGTTTATTTATTTTAAATAACAAAGTGTTATATCTCTTCACAGAACATATAGATGAACTTCTATACAGTAAAAATATGTCTTTTATGGAGTTTGTAAATATCCCTTCAACTCCTGTCATCTCCATCCCTAATGACAAGAACATGTCACATACTGATAGTTACAAATCAAGTGGTAAATATTTATGTCTTTTAATCTATTTACTTAACTATATAATTATAATATAATGTATATTTTATTATAATTAACTATCTAATATAACATATACTTTATTATAGTAAACTATATAATATAGCATATTAAACTATAGCTTATTTACACAGATCCCCTAAATAACTAAATTTAAGCTGACTCATAAACTAAGAATTAAAAATGTATATTTTGTTAAAGTTATTCATGCATTTACTATTTGAACTATATGTAAAATGTTCTCTTTATTATTGGAAACTCTCAATAGATAACTTCTCTTAGTGACACAAACTGAAGTTTTTTTAAAACACATAAAAAGTTAAACAAATTTAAAAAATTTGAATAAGATAAATAATTTTAAAGAATAGTTGAATTTCCTTGCACTAGGCTAACAAAAAGTATTGAAAATTCATGTGTACTATTTACTCATAGAAGGGGGATAATAACTTACTTATAGTTTGTCTACAGTAAGAACTCCCCTCGCCACAAATCTGAGGCCATCTGCTGTTAAAGAAACTGGAATAGCGCATTTCAAGGAGGGTAGCTTCTCTTCACTCTAGGGCTAACACAATAGGCCGAAGAAAAAGATTCCCTTTCTCTTGCCAAACCTGTCCTAAACAGTAACCCCACACCCCTACTTGAAATAGTTATACCTCATTACCATAGTCACCACCATGGGTTCGGACAAATGGCTAGGGGAATTCTTACTTTAGACAAACTATATTTCTCTAATTGTAAATTTAAATAAGTGATAATCACTCTTTTCGCCAAGATGCAAAACATGGATTTTTTTTCTTCCACCTAAGTTATTGTAGTTGAGGGTATTTAAAGTTTTTGCTTTTTGCTTTATTTAATAATTTTATGATATGTTGTATGTATTTACAGCTGCTTTGTATTTATATTTTCATTTATTTTAATTTTAGTATCACCAGAATCGTGGGATCACATGATAGCTAATCTGGTGTCTCTGACGTGCTCCCGTGACAAAATAAGTGTCTCTTTGCCAATAGAGGATACGATGAAAATATTTGTCTCCACTTTGGGACCTGATAGCAGATTACTGTCAGTCACTTTAGCTGATGTTGGCTGTAAATCACAACAAAATGGGACTCATTTTATACTTCAGTCAAAGTGGAGTGATTGTGGTACGAAAGCTGTTACAAATGGTGGTCTGGAGTACCATAATCAGGTAATATTTTCATAACTGGTAACTACCCCGGAATTTTCAGAGGATCTCTGAAAATTCCAAAGTGTATCCTGAGCATTGGTCGAAAGTATGAATTTTTCCCGGGAAATAAACCCGGCAACTAATTTTCACACTTTTACGCCCATGACGTCACATAATCCTATTCCCACAGTCAGCGCTTTCTTCTCCCAATGGTGAGCAGTGTTTCTTGGCTCGCCGATCTTAGCGTTGGGTATAGTGCTGGCGTCACTTAACCTGTGCAGTCGAGTGACATCACCTTTATAACTGTAAAGAGGATGAGAAATTTTTCTTCCGTCTTTGTAGAATGGTTTCTTCCCAGCATACGGAGTTTATGATTTCATTCGCCCAATGCTGCGGATTGGAGTCAGGAGAATGTCTTCCAATAAACATTCGTGGATGTTTTACAAAGCCTGTATTTATTCAGTACTGTATTGTATATTACACTAGAATGGCCTGTATTTATTTGTTCCACGAAGTCATGTATATTGTAACATTTGCAAATGCAATTTTTTTAATTCCCACAGAGTTCAAAATGACTGTTTACTGCATGGGGAGAGATCGCACCATCTGAGAAATGGTGCCTCCTACAGTAAAGACATTAGAGATATATTTTTGCAATTTTCAATAAAGAGCCAAAATGTAATAAAAGCAGAGACTCACTTCGTAATTTTTTTTTAATTTAACGAAATTTAATTTTGACGAAATGTTTTTTTAAAATTATAATCAAGTGAGTTATGTTAACATCTTGAAATTATGATTACCCAGATTAGAATCATTGATTGAAATCAATGCAAAATTGTTCATTTGAATGAATTATAAAATTCAGTGATCAATTTAGCTGTTAGTTTATTTTAATACTCCTATTGTTTCTTCAGTTTTCTCAGGAAATGCACAAAATAATAAGCTTTTGCATGAATATAATCTTTGATTTTAGACAAGAGATCTATCTCATTACATAGTTTAGAATATATAACTGAATTCATTTTAAATTTTGCTTTTCAAAGTATCCTTCTCTTGAATTGATATTAATCCCACATAACACTACTCAAATTTCATCACCCCCCATATGTCATTTAGATATTTATATCTCTCACACACTTGTATTTATGATTTAACTCTTGTCATGTAAACTTTGCATTATATGATTTAGTGATCAAAACTTTGCACTAAAATTTTCGCTTTTGTACCCGTTTAAAAAATGCTTTTTCCTTTTCTTTATAATTTATGTATGATTTGAAATGATTTGAAGCAGTTTCACAAGCAGCAACTGCATGAATATTGCACTAAAGCATTATATTTTGCAGGCTTTTAAAAAAAAATTAAAAAAGAAAGGAACAAAAATATGGGAGTATTAAAATTAATAAGCTGTACTATATATTATAGTCTTAACCACCATTAGATTTTTTTTTATTTTACTGTATGACAGAAACATACAATTTCAAAGATGGTTTTCTGTATGTCACAAGAGTGTTAAACTGTCAAAATATTTTTATTAGGTGTTTTTCTTGATTTTATACATTTAATTTTGTCACATCTTTCTAAAAAATCTCTAAAGTTTTATTAGTGGTTTCCTCAATCATCAATTGATGTAAAGGGATGGTAATAGTTTGCTGATTTTATTTTGTGTGTTTTTTTCAGTTTTGTGTTTTTTGCCACAAAATAGCATACATCATCATAATTGTGAATATTACACGTTCTCAATATTGTAATTTTTCATTTAAATCCACTTTATATATTTTCTTTAAAAAAAATTCTACTGAAGATGCGTGATGCGTAAACAGACCAGAGAAAATAAATATGATTTAGCAATATCTTTTAGTTACTAGTTTTTTTGACCAATGACTAAATTTTCTTAATTTCTAATCCTGACAAATCTACCACCAAAGAACTTAAAAATTATCATCAGGAACTGTAATTTATTGTACAGTACAAAACCCGTTATCCGGAAATCAGAAAACCAAAAAACCGGAATGAAATTCAATAAATTTTCCCGCCATTTTTTTCAAGATTTTTTTTTTCCTCATAAGATTTTAGTATTTTTCTTTCTTTTATGAAAGATGTTTACCTTACCATCATTTCGGAAATAATCATTAGTGTATTACTTCATCGTTTTTTCTTCTTTTTAAGATTATTTCCAAAAAGTTTTTTTTTAGTTGGGTTTAACAATAAAAAAACGGCTTTTTGCAGCTATTCAGAAAACCAGAAAAATCAGTTATCCGGAATTGCGATGGTCCCTATCGTTCCAGATAATCGGTTCCCTACTGTATCTCATATCTACTTTACTGGGTTTTTAAAAATGAGTTACTATTCCAAAGGATGAGTATGTGTCTGTATATTACTAATATTTACTCATTTTCACTAGTATGTTTACATGCTTCTATGGATTTTTTTATCTATAAAAGCAATCAATAAAATGATTTTAAATCAAAAACTTTAGCACAAAAAATATGTAATATCACAATTATGAGAAAATGTGTTACGAAAACATGGACCGAAATATGAAACAGAAAATTGAAAAAGCTAATTCAACATACCATTCTTTTACATTGATTAATGGCCTTGGGCCAACAAACCGCCATAAATTTTAAACAGCCCTGATTTAAATATGAGATTTTTTAATGTCAAGCTGTAATGCTTATCAGTTTGACTGTTAAGAATGAAGTATTTCTAGTAATTGTTTAAAATGAATGTTTCGTTTTTATAGATTCAATTTGTAACGACTAAGCAAGAGCTTGATAACGTGTCATCAAATGAGCAGAAGCGCTTGCCGACAGATGATGATGATTACATCTCTGAATATGGTTCTGGTTCAGATGCGGTTTCACTGTCCTTGTTGAGAAGTGAAGAGAGTGTTATTTATCCATTACCCTTCCACTGTGACAAACCTTTTATGAATGACGATAATCAGAAAGTAAGTTTTTGGCTCTGTCTTTTTACCATTCATTAAATTGCAACTAAAATAAGCACCCTTGCTCTGGACTTGACAGGTGTGAATAAGAAGAAACTAAAATAATTTTAAATGTAAAACGCAAAGTTTCTAACAAAAAATATTATATAAATAATTTCTATTTGCATATTTTTGAAGCAATTGAAGTTTATTTTATTCATGTAATATCTTACCACTTTAGTTTCTCAGGATTGTTTATTTAATGTCCCTCTTGTTTAGATTGTTTGTTATTTGATTATTTGTTAGTTGTATTATTATTTGTTAGTAGTATTATTAGTACATTAGTTAGTAGTATTATTAGATTATTTGTTAGTTGCCTTGGATTGGTTGAAAAATGGGTGTGTGCAAGATAATAATATTATGCTCGATAATTTATAGTTTATTATCAATAAGGTTGATATTTTAACTATACAATTTTAATGATTTTATGAAATTAACATTTATTTAAAAAGAAAACATGATTTGCTTGAATTGGATTTGCACATGGTAAAAATATAAATTTAGTTAACAAAGAAGTATTTAGTAAGTTTATTAAAAAAAATTTCTTGGAATAAATTTTTTAAAAAAAATATTCTATTTTAATAATTTTTCTTCTTCTCTTTTCATTCATCTTTTCTATTTTATTTTCCATGATTCTTTTTTAATGAACTATAAATTAGTTTTTTTATTTTTATTTAAAGCTTTTTATGTAACTATTATTTTATTGCATTTGTAACACGAATACTTTAAAACAGTCATCAGGTGAAAAATATGAGTTGAATCTGTACACCAAAAAGGACTACAAGCAATCAATACCATCTCAATCATTTCCTTTTGATGTTGTTGTCCATGATCACTTATTTGCAGAAGCAAACATCAAAGCAGGTATGTAGTATCTTTATATAGTTACAAACTTGTTAGTCTTTTGTCATATGATGTTATTTTGCAGTGGTTCTGTGTTTTTTTTTATGAAATTCAGATTTTTTTTTACTCATTTCTATACTTTAAAATTTTTATACCATTTTAAAATTTATATACCATTTATCTACTTGCAAGGGAAGTCAACATCTCTACAAGGGAACAACATATCAAAAATTCCTATTAAAACAAAGTTACACTCAAATTAAAGAGCTTGTTTGCAGGGGTCTGCGCCATTTTTTTTTTAGCGGTACCTATTTTGTGAAAATTTAAACATAATTTGTGAAAATTAAAAAATCAACACAGAAATATGGTAAAGTAAGAAAATAATTTTAAAAATTGTTTCTATATATAAAAATCATTTATGACTGGTAAATTTCTATTTATTTTTTCTCATATATTCAAAAACAATTCTGCTATTGTAAAATTTTGAGCTTAAAAACTTTATCCAATTTTAAACATGCATTTAACAGTTCTAGACTAAAAGCTATTTTAAGGTCTGTTAGAATAAATTTACAATAGTGTTTGCATTTCAACTTTCTGTAAAGTTTGTAGAGGGAGAGATTCATTGTTTCATTTAAAAAAACTCATCGAAAATAAAGCTCGCTCTGACATGGCATAAACGATTGGTTAAGCTTACCATACCGCACTATCTGACCAAACATGTGCTACCTATTCGTAAAAGGCAGCTGGCAAAAAAAGCTCCTCTCTTCCCTAAATTGCAATGAGAATGCGACTTGTGTGGTACTAGTGCCTTTTCTTCCACCTCCATTAAGGAACGAGCAGCTGATGATCCTTTTCTCCCACGACGTTTTGTGATCCTGGCATGCTCCCAGCCAGGCATGGAGAGAAAAAGCATTCTTCTTACAAACTGGGTGAGAAGGAGCCGTGATGGCTCAGGGAATGGAGCGTGCCTTCCAATGAGGCGAACCGGGTTCGAATCCCAGTCAATACGAATTACGCATCCGGCTTGCACCACCCACAGTGCTAACATGTAATATCCTCAGTGGTAGACGGATCATGGGTGTGAGTCCCATGGGTGTGAGTCCCATTGCCGTCAGGCTAACCATGGGAGGTTCTCGTAGACTTCCTTTCCATGTAACGCAAATGCGGGTTTACTCCATCGAAAAGTCCTCCACAAAGGCAAGTTTCTCCTAATACTTGATCCAGGAGTTTCCTTGTCTTCTGGATTGGGTTCAAAATTACAAGGCTACAGAGATGAACATTGGTAGTCGTAAACCCATGAAATTGAGTCGCCTCTTCAATGATGGTTATAAAATATAAAATAAAACTAGGTAGGACGAGAATTCTTCTATATCATAATAGCAATCTGCGGGAGGGTTCCATTGTGAGTTGAAATGCATTATTCACCCGGGATTTATCGTTTTTACAAGGGTACAAAAACAAAATTTTAAGAGGTAGAAAGAAGAATTTTAGAACTTGCTTTTTTAAAAGTATTTTGTGAAATTTTGAAAATATTTTTAAAAACGATGAATAATTTTTTAAAAATGTTTCATCACAAAGTCTTTATTTTGTTTTATCTTAATTTGACAGAATTTAATCAATGTTTTTAGATTTGCGTCTTTGCATTATCATTGATGAGTGTTGGCTTGCTGAAACGGACAATAAATACAAAGCAACTGGGAAGAGAAATACTCTAATAAAGCAGGGGTATTTGAAATTTTTATTAATTTCAATAATTTCTTCTTATCTAAACTCATTGCAATAGTGATTAATTTTGCACTGATCTTCCTAGATGCCCTACTGATTTGAGTGTTGACATCCTTACCAAAAGTCACTGCAGTACTGGTAGTACTGATGCTGAACACTACAAAATGCGGTTTTCATTCCAACTCAGTGAGGAACTGATGGATCGGAATCTTTTTCTGCATTGCCGATTGACATCTTGCGCCATGCAGGATAGTAAAGAGCTAAATACTAATCAGGTATTGCTTTTTCATGATCCGAGACGAACAGAATACAAAATATTTAAAATCCCAATTAACTAACGTTCTTGCAATTTGCAGAAAAACACGTCTTACAAATCAATTTTATAATATTCAATGTAATTAAATCTTGTGTCTTCAGTATCAATAATTCCTATAGTGTATGATTCATAAATCATGTGAATACAAATTGTGAAGCGTGATTCTTATAATTGCTTAAATATAAAATGTGACAAATGACTCATAAATATTGTAAGTATGAATTGTAATTTGTAAAACACAGGTAAGTTTTAAAAAGCAACCTTGGTGCACTTTCTTTTGAATACTCTGAATTATAGCACCACTCTGAACTCTGAAATATAGAAATCTACACCACACTGAAATATAGCTTTAAAAAATAAATGATGCAAATATTATTCCATTATATATTTTATTATAACGTTTGTAATACTATTCTTTTTTATCAACCCTAAATCTGATGCTAAATAATGAGAGACTATTATTCTAATTTTTTTAACAGTTATCTAACTCTAATACTTATAGTATGTATAGTACTTAATAATTTTGCCTAATGAAATTCTTCTGCTTATCCAACAACTCCATTGCTCTATGTTTAATTTTGCACTGTTAGATGACGAATCATTAGTATGAGTATCTAATGTTTGATGATGAATTATTGTTTTGAGTATTTAATGTTTGGGATGAATTATAAATTTGATTCTCATTGCTATTAGTCTAATAGAGAAAAGCTTTCATAATATTATTTTCTCTCTAATTTAAATGTTAACAAATTTTAGTTTAAATGTGGCATAGTGAGTCTTTGATTAAAATTTTTTCACACTTATGAATTTATGATATTTGGACTAGAAGTTCCCCATATCTTTCGAATAAGATTCAAAATTATAAAGATACTGTAACTAGAGTTAAAAATTTCTTTGTTCGTTAAGTGTAATCTAAGTATTTTATGTTTCTAAAAACATTTCTTTAATCCAGAAATCATATTGAACTTTCAAATAATTATCCGATGCCTAAGTTAATTTTTAAGGATCCCACCTTTCTTCAGTTACAATCTTTCTTTTAACAATTTAGGCTGAACAATGTTTTTTGCCTTTCTTTTTAAAACCATTCTGTGAGCTGCCCAAAACTTTCAAATAATTATCAGATGCCTAAGTTTATTTTTAAGGATCCCACCTTTTTTCAATTACAATCTTTCTCTTAACAATTTAGGATGAACAATGTTTTTTGCCTCTCTTTTTAAAACCATTCTGTGAACTGCCTGAAGCTTTCAAATAATTATCAGATGCCTAAGTTTATTTTTAAGGATCCCACCTTTCTTCAATTACAATCTTTCGTTTAACAATTTAGGATGAACAATGTTTTTTGCCTTTCTTTTTTAACAAACATAGCAAATTTAACAGTAAAAGTAAAGCTAAAAAAAACAATGGCAGAAACAGTGAAGCTTAAAGTAGTAATAAACATAGCTTGGACATTGAAAGTCTAATTTTCTAATTTCAATTCTACTAATTCACTCTACTTCAATTTTCTTAATGCAATTCTTTTTTTTTCTTTAATTGATAAAGAATTTTTTCTTGTCAATTAAATTGATAAAGAGTTTGATTCTTAAATTTTTTCGCCTGCCATGAAGACATTGCATATAAAATAAAAGCAAATCAACAACTTAATAAAAAAATAAGTTATCAGAACTTCATAAAAATAAGTTTAAAAAACTAGCAGTTTAAAATTACTCTTTTTTTACTTACAAAGCTATACTGGTCAAACAAACAAATGTGATTGGTTGAGTCGTTTTAGTACGAAATATTTGGAGATGGAATAAGTACTGGACTATTTAGCATGACTTATTTCGCCAAAGTCAATTACTGTTCCTGTTAATGTATTTGCTGGTTCATTGCATGTTTGAGGGAAAGATGAAAATAAAAAAAGAATGTATTTCAGTGAAATATAGTTTAAATTTTGATTGGAACAAAGGGATTTTTGTTAGTCAAGTTCATATTTCAGTAGAAGGGAATTATAAAAATTACTTCCGTAGAAAGTCATTTTTATGTCAACAGTAAAGTAAGATCTATGAGCCCCCTTTTTCCCCACCCTATAAATATTACATGATCAGAGAAGAAAGAATGTTTTTCAAAGATCCGTATCTGATTTGTTCGTCCTTTATTTTAACTGGTGTTGTATTTACCCATACCTCTTTCATTTCCACTGAAGTTTCTATCCATAGAAATCTAATCTTGTTTTATTTATTCAAAACTATTTTGAACTTGAAGTTTTAATAAAATTATTTGTGTTCATTCATTCAATGTAATTGTATTTTATAATATATTTAAATAATTTTAAAAATGCAATGAATTGTTTTTTCAATTAATATTGAATATTCTCATAAGTGCTGGCCAGAGCCGGTCCAGTATGTCCAAGATTCCAATCATTATTATTTTCATAGATAGTTTTTTTTTTGCACCTGTTTTTATCAAGNGGGATAGTTGTCATTAAATTAAGAAAAGTATTTAATTAAATTAATTAAAGTAAGTAAGTATTAATTAAATTTTATGTAAACTCAATCATTTGACCTCCCAACCCCCACCCCCTCTTCTGGTTGCACGCCTGCCTTAAGGACCTGTTTATTACGAGCACTCGGATTTAACGAGTACATGTTACGGTCCCTTTGTGCTCGTTATAAACGAGTTCGACTGTATTTAAATCATTTTTAAAATACAATGAATTGTTTTTTCAATTAATATTGAATATTCTCATAAGTGCTGGCCAGAGCCAGTCCAGTTTGTCCAAGATTCCAATCATTATTATTTTCATAGATAGATATTTTTTACACCTGTTTTTATCAAGTAGTTGATCTCTATCTCTCTTAAAACATAATATAATATTTTAAAACATTGTTTTCAGTGTATCAGTGATGAACATTTCTGCCTGAAACAAAGTCTCAGGCCTTATCTGGACACACTCTTTGGAAAGAAATACAGCCTGATTGTCAAAGGTCCTTTCCGTGTTGTTCCAAAGCAAAGGGGAGAAAGAAGAAAAGGTAAATATTTTGTTCCAATCAGGTCCTATCACTTTATCAGGGTGGCCGCAATACATTCAGGGAATTTTATCAATCTGGAAATGTCATTGAAATGTGAGAGTATTTGACAAAAAATACCAAAGGAGTTAGGGAAAATTATTTAAAGTACCTAAATATTTTTAATTTTTTTTTCTTAAATTTTTTATTTTAAAATTTAATTACCAAGTAGTTGTAATATATTTTGTGTATAAAACTATGACATACATGAGCAATTAATAATAAAATGTATTACCCCCGGTTATAAATATCAGGCAAATATGATTTATGAAAAGAAAAAAAATCTGTAAAAATATTTTTTTCTGAGTGATTGTGGTTACCCTTCTTAGGTTTGAGTGACCTAAATTTCTTTATATAATTTGAACTAATTGTGAAATTTTACTTACTTAGAAATTTTATCATTGGACAAATAAAATTTTAAAAAATTTCTTGTATTTTAAAAAGTGGGACTTTTGGTCTTTTATCTGAATACATCTTTTCACTGTTAAGCTGTAGTTTTTTATGCATGTATCCAGTTTTATTCTTTTTTTATTACAATTATTTTTAATAATATTCTGTTATGATTCAGCAAATAATACACCTCTAAATAAGAATAAGAACATATTTGGGAAGTTGGTCGCTTTAGTTTTACAGAAGCAACCAATTAAGGTTTTCATATTTCCATTCATCTTTTCATTACTGCTAGCATATTTTAGTTTTGCCTTAACAGCTTGCACTTTCTTTAAAAGGAAGTGTGCTGTGTTAGGAATATATATCGTAGTGCAAGATGAATCAGAAGAAAGGAGGCCCGCAGTGGAATTTTAATGAAATGAATTATCTAAATTCATAAAAATCAGCTAAGAATAAGATACTGTTTTCTGCTAATGGCTTATTCAGGATCAGGAAAGGAGTACTGCATGCTCTCCAACATTTTAGACTTTATTGAAAGTTTTTTTTCTTCTAATTATAGTGAACTAAAGCTGAGATTTTTATAACTAATGGAATTTTTTCATAAAATTAGAAGAAATTCGAGAAATATTTGTGGACAAAAATTCTTTAAATTACTATTTATTTTTATATTAATGTATTACTTTTGCTACAAACAGAAAAACTAAATTAAGGGGTTATATAATATAAATACTGTATAAGTATTATATATTATTATTATAAAAGTATTCTATAAATATTGTGTAGTATATTTACTATATTTAATTTCATATACTTCACTCTAATATTATAAAAACCATTATATTTTTGTGGTTTTTTTTTTTTTTAATGGAATTATACTGAAAAATTTGTGTTACTTTTATAATCCAATTCAGTCCGAATTATTTTAGATGAAAAAGATCCTACTGCACTTTATATGTTGCATAAATGCCATTTATGAATGATTTATTGTTGTACATATTTTGGAGTTATATTTAATATGTCAGGCGTGATTGTGCTCCGAAAAAAAATCCGGATTTTCGCTAATTGCGATCCGAAAGTTTCCAGAAATCCAAAGTTCAGAAGTTTCAAGAAATCATCGATCTCATTTATATATAAAAATTCTTGTATATTTTATTTAAAAATATTAGAGCTGGAATTTTTACTTGGCATCTCTTTCTGTTGTAAATATTTTTTCTGGTAGAATAATAAATGTGATTAGAGATAAAAGTAAACTTACACATAATTAATCATTTAAATTATGCTGCATTTAAAATATCATGTTTTGAAAATTTCAATGATTTAAATTTATAAAGATATTAATTTTTTGAATGATTTTACTCCAGAAAGTTTCAGGATTTTTGAGTCGGGGGCCCACAATCACCCCTGATGTGTTCACCTAAGTGGCCTTACACAGGCTTTTTGCTAGAATTTTATTCTCATTTGCAATCTTTTTGTTTTATGTGAATTTACTTTAACCCTTTATAGATTTTTTTGGTGGGAAGGTAAGTGGGATTTCAAAATATTACCTGAAGTAAGGAATTGGTTATAAACTTGAACGTTTGAGCTTATAAATAACCAAATTTATAAATTCTGTGTTCATAACTACAAACAAACTCAATGAGATGTGTGTTACGTGTTTATTCATTTGATCACAAGAGAAAATATTTTGCCCTATGTTGGCCTCTTTCTATTTGACTTTATGTTTACCTTCAACTGTTACGCACATTAATTTACCCTTCATTAGCTTTTTATCTTTCTTTTTTGGAATTTTTTTAATTTATCAGCAGATAGCCACACAAATCACAGGTGAGAAAATAGCTTAGCTTCCTACTTGAATATAAAAAGTGATAAAGTTGGTGGGGAGTATACTTCCCACCGCCTTTATTAAGCTGTCATTTTTAAATATAAATGACTGTCTTTAGTTGAGGCAAAATTTTCATTTTCAGACATCAATTATTTAGTTAATGTTAAACTGTAATTTTTAGACTGAAATGCCTATCTTGTTTTGTTACGGTTAAGCTGTCATTTTTAGACATGTCTGTCTTAGATTAAACATTGTCTTAGTTAAACAGTCATTTTTACATGGATGTTTTTGTTCTAGAAAAATAAGAAGTTTTTTCATCCAATAAGTTAGGAAAAAAAAATTTCTTTTTAAACGACATGAAGTATGTTTTCTAAATATGTAGAAAAATAAATATGTATTTTTCAAAAAGAAAAAAAGAGGTGGTTATATCCTTAATACAATGATAACCATTTTTGGGTAAAGAAAGTGTTTTATAACATTATCACTAATAGAATATTTAAAAATAAAATATCTTGATTTATGATCATTTTCATAAATACTGCCTTTTTGGCAAAATTCAAAAATGAGGTGTTTAGGAAAAAATATATAAAGTTTAAATAATATTTGTATTGAAACATTTAAAAAATTTTCCTCCAGCTTTAGAACTTTTTGTCATTTATTCTATTCATTTATTATTATTATTGCATTTTTTGTGCTAACACTTTGAGCAACATTCTCACTTTGTGTCTTTCGTGTATCACATAAACTTTGTTTTTTCCATGCTTTTGAAAGGAAAACTTTTGTGCAGTTAATAGGAAATTTTAGTATAATTAAATTGTATTGCAGTGGCATTTTAGTACAATTTGGCCAGGTACTCTACCCTGAAAACAGTAAGAATAATTTTAAAAAATGCATTCATAATTTTTTTATTTAAATTCCATCGTTTTATGACTTATTTTTAAGAAACTATTGGAAATATTGAAATCATAGTCTAATATAATATTAGTGAACCATTTAAAAGTTAAATAATTAAATTTATTTATACCAATTTTTCTGCCGTGCACAGCGTGTCACAAAAATATCTAAAACATGGTACATAGCATTTTTAAAAAGTGCTTAAAGGTGCCTATTTTCGTTTTTTAAAAGCCCTTGAAGTTGCTTTTTTCACTGGGTGTTCTAATTTCCACTTTTCGAAAATGAGATTTTTTTTTCTTTACCATGTCGATTTTCGCCACGTGTTATGCAAAAGTGTGATTTTCACATTGCTCTATTCAACATTTTCACAATTCATTGATCAACAGTATTATCGGCGTAACGTCGGTTCACAGCTCATGAAAACGCCGATCATCTTACTAATTTGGTGGAATACTTGTGCGTCTGCTGAGCTGGGTTTGGTGGGATCATTGCACTCTTATGTGCAACTCTGCTGATTTCGAAAGATATGCTTAATTTCTGGCTTCATTTCACACCCTCTGATATAGAACCGAAAAAATCTCTTAATCTTTTTACAATGGCTAATGTAATCAATAAAAAAGTTCTTTGTCAGAAACTGGTTTATGTATCATAATAATGTAAAGTCTTTAAAAATTATTTTGTTAATGTATATAGTGCATAAAAAATGTGAGTGTTTATTATTTAAATAGCTTGAGGTATTTTAAAATTTAGATGGTTGAATGTAAAAGAATTTATGAATTAAAAAAATATGTATATTTATTTATTAAATAGCTTATGTTTTTCTCACTTTTCGCAGATGTTTTATCTGTTCTGAATCCAGAATCATCATCAATCCCATCTGAGAACAATTTTATTGTGGACTACTCCTTTGATAAGTTAACAGGAAATACAAAGAAAAATCCTGTATCACAACAACTTGTGTTTGTGGGTCTGTCCACAGAAGCTGTTGTGGGGATTGCTTTTGCTTCATTCATAATTGGTGCTGGTCTAATGGCGACATTATGGCTGATTCATATGTACACAGGTAATCCAAAGTCTTATTCTCTATTTTGATATTCATCACTATTTCAAGACATAATTTTTTGTTTTCCAAAACATAGTTGAATTTTGAACAAAATTTGATTTTAGCGAGGGGAAAAAAACTTTTGAATATTTTAAAATTAAGCATTGAAATTCTTCTGAAGTAGTTTTATTAAAGGATTCAAACTGCAAAAAAATTAATATTAAATTTTTTTTGTCAGGCATTTTCTTCATTGATAAGTAAAATTTTTTATTGGCCAACTTCTCTGATCTATTTATGAAAAAATTTCACACTTGAAGGGGTGAGGAGCCTTGTAAAATTATGTCTGTGTGAGAAAGGGAAAGGAAGTTATTAGTATGACTTCCTAGATTTTTAAAAATAAAAACAATTAAAATCTGCTAATTGAATATCATTACACAGGGTGCATAGTGTTTTTAAAAAGTGCTTAAAGGTCCTTATCTTTGATTAACGTTTTTTAAAATCCTTAAAGGTGCTTTTTTTATTCGGGGTTTGTAAAGAGTGCTTAATTTTCTATCTTTTAAGAAGAGATTTTTTTCTTTGCCACGTCAATTGTGGTTCTAAATTACAAAAAATTCATGATTTTCTTACTTTTCTCTGCAATATTTATCAGAAACTAGTTATTTTATCATAATTATGTAGTTTTTAAAAAAGTCTTTGAATTTTATTGATTTTATGTTTATAAATTAAGGACTTGTAGAAAAAAATAATTTTTAGTGCTGCAATGATCCTAATTATGATTTTTTTTTGGAAAGTGATTAAAAATACTTATTGAGTGCTTAAAAAGTACTTAAAAGGTACTTATTTTTTGTTGAAAAATCTGGCTACCCACCCTGTTATATTATCTACTTTCGTTCTGTTTTCTTCCGAAGATTTTGCTTTGCATTTTCATAGATTCTCCTGAAACTTGAATGCCAATTAAAGTTTAAATTAAGACCTGGTTAAGAAGTTAAATTTAAAAGCAAATCTTTTTGATCATGTCCACTTTTAAGAGATAATAGTCTGAGTAAATTTCTCAAATTACAAGCTATCTTATTAGAAGAAATATAAAAATTATGCCCACAAACAAAAGTAAATATCTTTTATTTGATTTCCTCTCCCCCTATTTTAAACTAGATAACATAGCCTGATGGTTGCACAGAAATGCAAACGAGATATATACGAGCTGGTTTATGTTTGTGATGAATAAGTGACAAGGAAGTGGTGTGAATTGCGATACTTTGTGGTAAACTGGGTCTAAAATATTGAGTAAAAAAAGTGACTTATTGGGTGTACAAATAAGTTTCTGCCGCTTTCTATCAAAATTTAGCAGTTTATTGTGAAAAAACGGTGCATATCTTATATTCAAAGTGTTCTCCATTACTAGACATTACTCTTTCCCATTTTTTGGGGAGCATTCGGATAACGCGTCGGAAGAACTCTTCATCTTTTGAGGATATCCACGAATCAACCCATTCCTTGGTTTCTTCAAATGACATAAATTTCTACTCAGACAGACCATGTACTGGAATAGGTGATAATCTGAAGGGGGCAATGTCTATCGAATACAGCGGGTGGGATAGGACTTCCCATTGAAGTGTTTCCAAATAGCAAAATTTATGTTCAATGTCTCTTGGCTTCAGTTGGTATGGAACCCTACTTGTTTTTAAATAATTTCCAACAATTTTAAATGATGTGAAATTGCTTGCTGAGTTATTTGTAATAGCAAGTTCTTACTGCCTTTGGAAGGAATTTTCTTCCGAGTCCTTGTCTTCGTACCATTCTTCCAAGTCAAACCTACCGTTTTTAAACTTCTGAAACTACTCACAACAACTTCTCTCACTTAAAGCAGCTTCCCCATATGCTTCTCCAAGCAGTCGATGTGCCTCAGCTCCAGATTTCTTCAAATTAAAGAAATAAATGAAAAGTTCCTGCAAATGGCGCTTATTTGGCACAAAACGTGGCATTTTTGCACGAAAACAATTACGTAATGCAAATGCGGAATCACCAAAACTTTAAGATTATGTTGTTAGCAGATGAACAAACTTAGAATAAAATGTTTAACACCAGTCAATTTCTACATGACCTTCTGGTAGTGCCATCTTGTGACGAACAACTTAACTTATTTGTTCACCCAATAATTTATAACTTCTAGCTTGCAATAAACTATATTTGATATTTAAATTTTTTGTAAATTATTTTAAGAGTTTTTATATTTATTTACTTATTTCAGAAATAACTATTTTTTTTATCTGCAAATTAAAATGTTTTGTTCCAGAACCTTCACGTCGTTTCAAACAGTCCAGAAAACAGTCCGCCAAACAGTCAAGAACTGACGGTCAATTAAACTCAGATCGCTTTGAGTGTGCAGATAATTCTGTTCCCTGTTCTGCAAAGCCATTATCTGTGCAGATTTGTGCATAAATTTTTATCAGTAATAATGTTAATTGCTCACCCATTCTAATCAGCAAGTATCACCTTAAGTACAAGTCTTCTCATTGTTGTTGTTGTGCATATCATGTTTTTCGTTTGTGTGCAATTGTGTATAATAATAATATGTATTATTCCTATTTTACATATACCTCATTATTTGCATTTACGGCATTTTATTTTTAAACTGTTATGGATCATCCCTTAAAACCCCATTTCACACCTATGAGTACAAGTTTTAAATGTTTGAAAATCGCTTTTAAAACTAAAATGAATAATAGTAAAATGTTTATTTTTATTTATGTACTAGATAGTTTGGTGCTCGCATTGCATTCTCACAATATTATTTGATACACAAAGTGTATGTGTTTGTACATATGATCATTGAAAAATATAAATTATTTTGCATGATGAAATGCACTCACAATAAAATTATTTCAGCAAGGAAACCACAAAAGCGTTATCAGGCGCTGATCAATATCTATTGAGGTAGATAAAAGCAAAGAAGGTATAATAATAATCAAAATCCAGTTAATTTGTTTAATAAAACTGAAGTGTGTGTGTGTGAATGTTGTTTTGAATCATCTTTTAGAGAATTCAAATTATTATTGAGGTAAATAAAAGCAAAGGACAGATTAAAATCATCAAAATGTTCTCTTAAAAGAAACTGGTTTTGATTATTTTGACCCATTCTTTGATGTTTTTGATCCCTATAGTAATTCGTCATAGTTTAAAAACTTTCTTATTCTTCCTTGCTTAAAAATTAATTACCTGATGTGTGTATTGTTTTTTTACTTTGTTTATTACAGAAATTTTATTGTAAAAATTATTAAGAGTGCTCATCAATGTACACTGTGTTTGTTGGTTCCGTTTGTTAAAATATACATTTTGGCTTTTCATCATTTTTATTTGGTTACACATAAAATGATGATTCTATTGAGGATATATAGTATTAATGAGTCATCAGAGGTCATTTTGGGTGAAATGATGAATGTGAGAGTTCCTTCAATTTTTTTTTTNTTTTTTTTTTTTTTTTTTTTTTTTTTTTTTACTATTTAGAGGAACTTTTCATAAAATAGTTAATCCTTAAAAAATAGTGAATAGTAACAAGAAATGGAGTTACTGGTTTGACAAAAATAGGGTTCGTAGCATTTTAAAATTTGCTTATTTTTGATTTTCGTTTTTTAAAATTCTTTAAATGTGCTTTTTACATTTAGTGAGTTTCAAAAGTGCTCAATTTTCCAAAATGAGATATTTTATTTACTATGTCGTTTATTGCCCCGAATTATGTAAAACGTGTCGTATTTACATTCAAGGTTTTCTCAATTTATTCAACCGCAATGCATTTTGGCGTACCGTCGGCTCATAGCGTATGAAAGCGCCAATCATTTGACATGTTTGAAGAAATGCTTGCGGGTCCGCATGTTCATATTCATACTCTCGAATTTTCACTTTTAAGTGGGACCAACTGAACATTGCCAAATTTTTTTCCCTGTTAGCAAAAGAACATTTTATTTCTCTTGTTAATTTCATTGTTGGTGAAGAGCCATCGTCTTTGTCACTGGCAAGCTAATGGCCTTCTTGCTCCGTTCCATATATAGATTAATACCCTAATCTTTGAACTTGACTTGGGGATCATTCACTAATTACATATTTTAATGTGGGTCCCCAGAGCGGATTACAAAGCTTCATCACCTAAAAATTTCCATCTCCTTTTTATTCATTTAATTTAATAAAGATAGGAATTAATTCAGAATTTTAAGCATAAGACTTTTTACCTGAGGTAACATCAGCTAATTGCAAAATTTTTAAAATTTTATTGTACTTTATAATTATTTTTTACTTATTACTTTTTATTATTATATTATTACGTTTAAAATTTTCGGTGCTCTTAATTTGTTTTATGAAAAACTTAACATTTTAGAGGCAAGATTTTAAAAATGTATGAAGTGAGGGGCTTTCAATATTTTAAATGCAATAAAAAATCTTATGTTATTCGGATTTGTCCTTCCAAAAAACTTAATGATTTGATCTAAAAGCAAATGAAATAAAAAATTCAATCTCAGATGTGTTTAATATTATGAGTGTAGGGACCTTATAATAATTTACTTCGGACATAAATGTTTAGGTTCAGTGCTCATTGTATTTACACTTCAAAATTATAAAAAGAAAATTTAATCATTTCATTAAAGAAATACTTAGCCAAATTACAAATTTAATAAAAATGTTTTAGGGGCCATTCACTAACTTGCATTTGTAATATGAATTTATTGAAGCTTTCTTCGTTTACTTGATTCTTTACATATCTTTATAAATTTAGTATGATCAATAATATTAATCTTGTTAATGCTTTATTGAATATGCTTTTATAAATAACTTTTGTTCAAATCGAAAAATACACTTGATAACCTTTGTAAATTAATTATAATTTTGTATTAATTTTTTAATATAACTAAATAAATTAATTAAATAAATAGAATGAATCACTTAATATTTAATTTATTTAAAATTGTGTCTAAATTGTTTTTATGGTGGTTAATATAATCAAGAAAATGAGTTCTGTGTCAGAAACTAGTTATTTTATTATGATCATGTAAAGTCTTGGAAAATTATTTTGCATTTTGTTAAGGAATATATGAAAAATTTTCATTAATAAGAGGAAAAAAATTATTAATGTGCTTATTTTAATTATGATATTTTAAATGCTTAAAAATATTTGAGTGCTTATTTTTTGTTTTACGCACCCTGAAAAAGAATTCACGTTCTTCTTACTCAGTTAGGTGACAGTAAATGTCATACAAGCATTACAAAATGGATAATAACTGATACAGTCCATTCATTCAGTTTCAAAAAGCAATGCATTAAGAAAGCATCCAAGAGGACCACCAGTGTGGTGTTGTATACTTGACTACCGAAAGTGTAAGAGTTCATGAAATTCATTAGCAAATGGGAATGTTGTATGAGGAACACTTCATTTAACTTTTCAAGCCTATAGAAGTGAAGCGAGAGCTTTCAGAAATATAATAAATATGGACTGGTCTTTACTCAATTATTATTCACTAACCTAAATTGCATGACAAGTACTGCCTTCTAGAAAGTAAGAAGTAAGCAATTTTCCTTGTCACACCAGCAACTACATTTCAGGCTTGTCTTCATTTTTCTAGTTACTATGGTTTTGAATTAATGGCCTCTGTCCCACTATTTATTGGCTGTTCCTAATAAGTTTTTCTTGTTAAAAAACATTCTTGCTACTACGAATTTCAAATAAAAGGCATGTGTCTACTTAAGCTATGTATGCAGCTCAAATCCTATAAGTTATTTAAGTCTTGTACATAAGTTAATTCTCAATTTCCCAAATCCTGTAAAGAGCAACGGAGAGTAGCTGACATTTTCCAAGAAGCAAACACAGAAATAATATTGTGAGAGTGCTTAGTTTATATATTGTGAAGTTTAGTCATTTCATGTTTGCCAACTGAAGTTAAATTTCATCTAGGTACTTAATGTTGTTTTTAACATTTTTTAAATATATTTGTTTGTTTTTATGTGAAAAAGAAGAAGAATTGTTGCAATATTACTGTCGTATAATCTCTTTTATACATGCTGTATGTATAATTTCTAATCAATAAGATTTGTGTTGTACTCTTCATTACCAAAAACTCTTAAATCCGAAAATTGTACCTCTAAAATCGAATGAGTTAATAAGCAATAATAATACATATTTATTTTATACTCAAGCTACTGCTACTAATTTCAGATTATAGTTGGGGTGTGAAACCCTTTTGGCTGTTTAAATAAGCAGAATTGGATAATATATAAAATGTTTAAAACTGCAGGACCCCTGCTTAACAAGGAGCATTCAAAACAGAATGTTGCTCTTTAAATCTAGTAGCCTGCTCTGGTATGCTTAAGGTTAGTACTAATCAAATTAAATAGAAGCAATTAAACATAAATGATCAGCAGAATTACCAAATTAATTTTCCAGATAATTTTTATTGGGAAATCAAATATATTTAACATATTTTACTTAAAAAAAATTTTTTATCATATCAATGCCATAAAATAGCACTTGATGCAAAATATTTCCCCGTTTGTCATTTTATTTAGCTTCAAAAGCTATTCAAGATTTTGTAATGACTTTACAGTGTCAGTACTTCTCAGTCAGGGTCTTGAGTAAAGTTTAATTAGGTAAAAGTAAAGAAAAATTTTCAATATTTTTTTTTTCATGATTTGCAGTGTACTACATGTTCTATTGTTTTTTTTTTTTTTTATTATATATCATGCTTCCAAAATTATTTTACGCTTTGAATATAAAAAATTTCTCCTAAAAAGAGTATATATATGACAATGCACCAAATAAAGACTCCATTTTTCTCCTTGGACATATAAGAAATTTTAAACTATTTTTTCTCTAATTTTTTTNTTAGAGCATCTCTATTTTTTTTTTTTTTTTTTTGAAAAAATAAATCTTTATTATTATAATTTTGGTAAGTATTAAACTTTAAGAGGACTTGTTTTTCAAAAGCAATAAAGATACAACGTAAGTTTTCAGAAACAGTAAAGTTACCAATGTAAGTTATCTCGATTATGTGACAGTAATACTGCTGTTATGTTAGTTCTTGTAAAATATTTTTGGTAACTACTTTTTAACTTCATTTTTCTAATAAATTTTATCACAGCATAAATTTAAAGCAATAAAAGTATTGTAGTGACGACTCACACTAGACAATGTTGAATTTGTGCTGCGTCTAATTAAAATAAATGAAAAAAATTATTTAAAAAAAAAACTTGTACAGTATTGCTTGATGATAATAATGCTATTTATAGATTGTGTAAAAAAAGAAAAGAGTCATGGATATTGTTTTATATGCTTTAAGAAGAGTGTTATTCTGTAGTTTATATTAGTGGTTTTGTCTAGATAGTACTGAGAAAAAGTACTGAAAATACCGAGGGTACAAACTTCTTTTTGCTGTGACATATTTTGTGTGTGTTTGTCAATATTTTAAATTATAATATTTTTAATGGCAAACTGTATGTAAATTATGTCCTTAATTTTTTGATTTAATCTAAACTGATATTGGAATCTTGAGTCCAATTTTTTATTATTAATTAATCATTAATCATTAATATGCAATTAATTTAATTTTTTGACAATTTTTATTATTTTAAATTAAAGTACATTTAATGGCAAACTGTACATAAATTATAGCCTTGATTTAATCTAAACTTATATTGAAGTCTAAATACAATTAATTTGAACCTAAGTCAATACAAACTGAATTCAAAGCCTGACTGAATTATTCTGCTATGAGATGAAAGTTTGTTTATTTCTCTACTTGTATAAATCATGGTTAATTATTTTCATTATGAAATTTATTCATTAAAATACAAATAATTAATAAATGATAAGTTGACATTAATTAACTATAAATAATGTCATATTAAATTGTATTATTTTTGGC